TGACCATTAAATGTACACCATATTCTTCCAACCAAACTGAAGTCCCAGCAAACTTGAAGAAATGTTTCCGCAAAAGGTCTTCATCGAAATTAGCTAGTTTACCCTGGAAGAAATCCCGCAACCCACTGAAGGGTTCATCATTTTCTAAATGGTCAATCAATACCTTAACCATTTCAACGAAATCGTCCAGCAATCGTTGATATTGTGAAATTTGAATTTGAGTATTTTCTTCTATTTCCTCGCAAAATCCATTAGCAGGACTAAGAGAATTATAGATTTTTAAGTTGTGTGGAGTGTACCGGTGGTTCATAATTTCCGGAGTTAATGGGTTGGAGTGCAGTTTGTGGTATTGAACTGTGGTTTTGTTGTTGGCTGGAAAGTTCGTTAATTTGCCATTGTCGTGATCTAAACCATCGGGGTAAATAATGATTGAATTTTGAAGTTCTGGAGCTGAAGGGGAAACCTTCCAAGGAAGTTCGCCGTAATTCTTTCCTTGGTGGATAATTGCCAGGAAGGTAATAAACCATAAAATAAGGCTGGTTATTATACCCAACCGTATGGATGTAGTCGTCAACTTGAATGCACTATACTTGAGCAGCATACTAAATTGGAATTTGTTGAAAAGAAAGAGATAATCTTATGAGTAGAAAAAGAAGGGGGGTTTGGGGACTGGAGGCATTTGTTTTGATGTGTATTTTATATATCTAATAGCATATTATTTGCTATACTGGGTTAAGGAATTCATTGCGATGATGTTTGGATCAAATGAAACGCAATGAAATAATTTATTATTTGCAGTAACGTGATATTTTAAATGATATTTGCAAAATATGTTTACAAAACGGGGCTGCAAAATCCTGAAAAGAAATTCAACTGAAAAAATATCTGAGTCAACGTCTTCTGCCAAATCTACTAATTATTCTGAGTGACGAAAATCCTAATCTGATCAATAATGAAGAAAAAATAAACTGCAATCTCTAGGAATGCAATAATGTTACAGCATATGGACCCATAGTCTCTTACTCAGTAGTCTTCGATGGATTTTAGCGGAGGAATTTTGCAGGAAATGGAAGAACGTAGGAAATTCGCAAGGTCTCAGATATATCTTATAAAATAAATGCGATCTAAATGCATCACGGTGATGTATAAAAATTTATTAAGAGTTCACTATGCGCAATACGATATAAAATATATGACATGATAAGATGAAAGCAACGTACGATAAAACCATTGGAAAAGTGACTAAGAAGAACTGGATGTCATGTTTTGGTGATGACGAAATATGTATTCTTTAGTATGAGAAAAAGAAAAAGTAACGAAACAAATTTTTTTTTATATATTACAAGAAAAAAAAAAAGTTTTTCGGTACTATTCTGAGTGACTATTTTTACTCCCTGTTGGGTAGCTCACTAGAGAATATTACCACCAATTGTTTAGGTAACGATTGTTATCGCTCCTACCAGGAAGGGGGGACTGGGATATACGTCTATATATATTCTGATAAGATTATATTAATGTCTGAGAGATGGATTCTTTGAGATGATGATATCGTTGGAAGAATTTTGACGAAATAGGTGGAGAAAAATACAATGGAAGTGAATTATCATCTGATGAAGCGATTTGACCCAATCGACAAATTGAAGGCTTTCATACCCTCTTCTAGAGTCATAGAGTACTTCATCACTATAGGCTTCTAGAGTAGAGCAGAACCAGTGATATGCAGAACTACTTCAAGCCTTATACCGATAGTTTCCTTTCATTGAGGGAGAATGCAACAAAAGAATGGCTGTAAGATTATTTTTTAATGACATAATTTTTTATTTTCTTGAAACGATGGTTACAAAATTGCGAATATGTTTTCACCAATGCAGAAAATAACCATAGGATGTGAGTTGTGAACTATGTAAGTTACTACTTAATAATAATAAATAATAAATGCAATTATATTGAAAAGCCTAGCCTCCAAGCCTTACATTGCCCTGTTAGGAGATTACTAAAGAATCTATAAATAATGTCTACGAGAGATCGTCGACCAAAATCAAAGAATTTTCTCCCTCTAGAGTTACCCGGATCCTGTCCAGCATTCCGGAAACACCGAGAGTGCGTATACAACCAACGTGCTACTTGCATTTGAGATCAGCATGAATCCAAAAACTTTTCGTAATTCTTAATTATTCACCGAGTTGCAGAGCTACTCTATCGACACTATTCTAGGAAGGTATAATCTACAAATATGTTTACAACAATCAATTGTAGTCTAGACAATTGCAAACTTATTTCGTGCGTTTTGTCTCACTATGCTTTATGATCCTCGAATTGTTTTAGAGATTATTCCTTTGCAACTTAATTTTGGCTTCTGATTTTCAGAATTACGAACTTGCTTAGAGACAGAAAGAAGAATACTAGTTATAGTGCAAAAGGTTGAAATTTGCAATTGATAAGTTGAAACACTGCCGGTCTGATTTTCTATTGTATTACCCTTGCTCTATTACAATCCAAACGGATTGCTTGAAGTTAGATTACCGCTAATATTCCTTTTAGGGAGTACTTTTGGGTGTAATAGAAGTAAAGACTAGGTCCTTTTTATAGAAGTAAAATAACTTATGTAAAGTATATACTCTAGACTTGAACTAGTGGGGAAAATTGAGCCATATTTATATTTGTTCATTTAAGCGCCGCATAATACTTTTATTGGATAGACTATAAGCATAACGACATCATTACTAATCAATAGAATTAAGCATAATGATTAAGTGTACTTATGAATCGCAACCTGGTCGTAACATGCTCTGTATAATTTTACTAATTGCATAGTACTGCACAGGTTTCACAATACCTTACTAGTTTGAAATTCATCCATAATGAAACTGGACGGTACAATTAGGCTAACAACAATGATTAGACTAGGATTCTTTTCTTGCTTTTCTGGCGTCCGACGTCACTACCGTTATAAGCTTTGGCTTTCGAAGAAAATCCTTTGCAACAGCGCAAGGTCCAGACCATGCACTTCACTGTATTGATCCTTAGTCCTCAGATTGATTGATGGTTTTTGAGTATGACGCTTGTCCAACAATACATTTGTTATATTGTTTCCATTGATGACTATGTCGTTGGTCGCTTCGGCAACTTCATTCCTGTTTCTACCCAAGGTGCACCATTTCGATAATGATTTAGCACTTGACGAAAAGATCTCGCCACCAAAAATATCGGGCAATCCCTCTTCTGTTCTGATTTTGCTAAGCATGTATAATGCTCCCAGGACAGTACCAATTAAAGCTAGTCTTGTTAGGTCTTGGAATGTTGAATCGTTCAATATTGGGCAAATTTTATTTATCTGGTCCGCTAAGTTGAAAAACGCCTGGTTTTCTGGGAAATCTACACCTGAAATCATTATATTCCCCATTGCATCACCCGAAATAGCACTCTTTGAAACTTCCTCTTGAACCAAAGCTAACGAGGTGAGGTACAGGTGGGAGTTGTCAAATATAATCTCGCTTAAATCTAGCTCGTCATTATCATCAGCCATTCTCCCGTAGTACACTCCTGAAACTACGTCTCCAATAGCTATATGATTCTGAAGTGAGGCTTGCGAAGCTATGAAACTTGGACTACTACCAATACTTTCGTTAATAATCTGCAAGTTGAAATTATCATCTTCCTGGATGGTAAGTTGTATTATACCATATACATTTCCTGAAACCAAAAACCTGTTGTTTCCGAGATAACTAATAGACTGAAGGTTGATTTCTTCAAATGATTTAAATCCGTTTATCACCAAATTCAGATGGAACATAATTTCGTCGTGTACAACTTTGAATGCATAAATTGGATATTCTTTTGATGATGAAAGACATAATACGACAAAATCCGGTACAGTGTCTTTGAAAGTGTATAGAGATTCGGTATCATAAGGGAAGTAGCACATGTCGACGAATTCCCCATTATGTGAAGCTATTGCGCATTCAAAGACTGTCTCAAACTTTCTCTTATCTACGAGGACCAATTTTGAAGAGGAATCATTTCTCGAAGTAGAAATCGCAACTAGATGGTTATTTTCTGGAATATTCATACATTTGGTAAAAAGATCTCGTGAGTATATCGAGTTATACTTGATCATTGCTTGCCGCTGGGACTCCTTCTCCATAACAAAAGATGCTATTCTTTTTGTATCAAAACCAACAACTATCTGGTTATGTGACGCAAATTGAAGGTCCACAATGGACTCCTTGCTAGTGAAGGATGAATGACAGTAAAATCCCAGTAGCATGTCGTACGCCATCAACAAAATCTCATTCTTGTTGAATAATAGTATATTTGACTTCGACTTCCGAATAGTGTATGGATATGTATTGAAGCTCTGTTTCAATGAATTTACTTTAGTCAACTTTTTTTGGTGTACAGAAAATACCATTTGATATACAGTCCCAGAATCTAGCAGAAGAATAATCACAACTTTATCCGCCTTTGGTATAATCGCAGAGCTTAGAATACAAGGCTCATCCTCTAAGACTTCTTGAAATAATTCCATAACATTCCCATTGCTTAATTTGAATATGGCTATGGATCCTTTTAACCCTGTTATCAAAATGAAATAGCTATTATCTGACTTTGCACAATCAATACTGGTGATCTCGTCGAAGCCCTCCTTTGAATAATTTATTGGTTCGTTCATTCCCTGCAAAACCTTCAACTCGTTTGTTTCCGTTATTCCAATAATACCTGTGCAATCCGATAGCGTAATACCTAAGGTAAATGGACCGTCAATCATCGCTTTGTCATTGGCGTAGTATGCTCCACGTGTGAGAACATAAGAATCAACTTTTGATTTATAACAAGCCAATTTGTGTTCCTTAAAATTAGGGGAGATGGGACCCTTGAGCGTAAAATCTTTCAAATTAACAGTTATTCCTGAATTATCTTCTGATATTAGGTTGACCTCATTTTGAAGTACTTCGATTGATGAATATTCGACATGGGAGAATTTTGCCAGCCTCGATTTTCGTAGGGTGTATGGCCCGGAAGAATATTTCCTTAATTCGCTTCCGTGATAACCCCCTTGACAGGTAAATACTTCTAAATCCCCATTATTTGAAACAGTGGTAATGTCTAATATTGGTGGGCTCGAATCAATATATGATACAATATTTATGTGTGGACTGTTGGGTAAAATTTGAAACAAACATGATCGAGATATTCTAGATGCTTGAAAGAATAAATCACCTCCTATATGATGAACACGTGTGTTAGTCGGTATTGTGACAGCTCCTAATTCTATAAGGCTAAGTTGATTAAGTATAACAATTTGGCGAGAAGAGAATTCCACGTTGATATAAAGCATATATGCGGTTCCGGACTCCGAAATCAATAATGTTCTATCAGCGTCTATAGTTGTATAAGAAATAAAGGACTCTAAAGTTGTATGGGTAATTGATTTCAAAATATACATTTCATTTTGACTAACCACAATACTTTTGTCCTTTATGCTAGTTGATATCGAAATTGTTTTGACTTCAGGTGGAGGAAAGTAGAAAATACTTCCGGGAGCAATAGAAAGAAATCCCCCTTTTTGCATCGGAATAACAAGCGACGGTCTCTCATTGAAAACGGCAAATTGTTTAATAAGCTTGGGTGGTTTATCTTTTGCCTCTATTTTAAGATACCTCATTGATATAGTTGAATCGTATTGGCGATATAAGATTGCTAATGTCCCTTCAACGTTGTGAAGTATTTCTATCGTTAACACTTTGATGGATCCCAATGGAAAGGAGACCAAATCCCATATTTTGCTAGCCCTTACTCTCTTTTTGCTCTTAGATTTTAATTCGTGGTTGAATATCTCAAATAAGTTATAATCTGGGTCAAAATACAAAACCTGTATCGAATCATTGAAGGTATGTATAAGTATCCAATTAGGGTTCTCATACTTATCTATTGTGATGATTGGATCGCATTCCAAGGCTTGCAGCTGACCTTCAGTAGAAAGGGTCATCATTGTTTTCAACTTGACTTTCAAATTTTCCTCGATATAAATATAATTTATATTGAATTCTGAATCCAAGGTTACAATTATCTCATTGGAAAGTCTCAGAGATTTGAATTTCGTTATTGCGACAATTTTATATGTTAATTCTAACTCAATTAATGGATGGTTTTGTAGATCTTCAACTTTATAAATCTTGATACTATTTACAGTAGTTAAAAGTATTAAGGTGCCAGTAGTATGATTCAAAAGTAAGGATGTTAAGATGGCATTTGGTGCAGCCAATTGAGATAGTAGAAACATTATCTCAGGAAATTGTGTTTGGGGGAGGTGCAATTATTCTATAATTAGCTTTGATCTTGATTAGATAAAATTGCATAATTTAATAAAAGCGCAATTCTTTTGAGAGAAGAGTTGGGTTTTTTTCTTGCGCTCAATTTACAAATCATTGTAAAATACAACTAAGAGAATTAGAGTAAACAATACGAGAGATTCTATTGTTGGGTTGCTGCTAGTTGTGGTGATGAGCCAGTTATTAAACAAAACCACAGATAAAAAGGGTCAATATGTTGTATTTGTATTATATTGTAAATATCTTATGGTGATCTTGCAGATCTGACATGTTGCAAGTCATCATTAAATGTTATTTATTCTTTTTGCGCCTCACCAATTGTTCCAAAAAATTCTTTTATAAATTAACGAACAAGAAATTTGCGTACAAAAAAGATTCTAACTTCTTTCAATAAATTTCACATTTAAGTTTTTAAGAATTAAAGATGGTGTTATTTCCTTCTATAAATAGGATAGCAAACCCCCAGTCGGGGGCAAACTTACCTGGAAGTCGTCGAAGAAGACTATTCATCCCTCCATCTACCCAGTACCCTCTTTTCCTTTATGGAGAAGGAGAAGATCAACGTTCATTTTTGTCACTAATAGAAACAGGATCAGAGTCATACTTTTCCGATGATAGCGATGTTGTTAGTATAGCATCCTCAAGATCTCTACCTTCCAGTTTGAGTTCAGTGGAAGATCAAGAAAGTTTCCATAGTTGGCTTCTTGAAGAACATCAACGACGATCTTTATATTCTGAAGATGGACGAGACCAAGATGAAAATGACGAAGACAATGCATCCTGGCATCATCATGGAAGAAGGCGATCAAGTACACAGTCAGAAGCAAAAGATTTCATTCATTTAAAAACAAATTATCATAGAGAATTTCGAATGCTTTTCCGAAATTCATTTCCGTTAATCATTACATTTATTCTTGAACATTTCTTTTCTATTGTAAGTTTAGTTGTTGTGGGAAAATTGGGTACAAATGAACTTGCAGCAGTCTCCTTAGCAACGATGACATCGATCATTACGTTTGCCATATTTGAAGGTACTGCAACTGCTTTGGATACATTATGTCCTCAAGCTTATGGTGCCGGAAATTATGAGTTAATGAGTATCTTTGTTCAAAGATGTATATTATTTTCATGGACCTTGTATATTCCATTAAGTGTATGCTGGTGGTATTCTGATAGAGCATTTGCATATATTATTGACAACCCGGCGGTGGTCGAATTAACCAATAGTTATTTAAAGATTTTGATACTAGGAGCTCCGGCTTATATATTCTTTGAAAACTCCAAGAGGTTCTTACAAGCTCAAGGAATCTTTGAAGCAGGAACAGGTGTTTTATTCGTGGCAGCTCCAATCAATATTGGGCTTTCATGGTTTCTTGTTTGGAATAAAACTTATGGAATAGGATTCATTGGTGCTCCAATTGCCACGGTTTTCAATTTTTGGTTTATGTCAATTTTAATGATTGGATATGTTCGTTTTATAGATGGATTTAAATGTTGGTTTGGTGTTGCAGGTTTCTCTGAACTTATATCCAATTGGGTTCAAATTTATCGTCTTGCGATTCCTGGGATTATTATGATTGAATCTGAATATTTAGCTTATGAGATTATGACTTTGTTTGCATCATACTTTGGTACGGTTCAACTAGCTGCTCAAAGTGCAGTATCTAGCATTGCTTCTTTGGCTTATATGATTCCATTTGCAGTGAGTATAGCCGCACTGACTAGAATTGCCAATTTCATTGGTGGTCAAAATAAAGCAGGTGCAATTTTAGCTACACGGGTAGCCATGTTATTTTCATTAATTGTGGCATCGTTTAATTGTATATGTTTATTTACATTTAGAAGAGAGATTGCTAAAATATTCACCAAGGATCCTGAAGTGATTAATTTAATTGATGATTTGTTTCATCCGTTAGTTGCATTAATTCAATTACTTGATGGGGTTGCATGTATAAACAGTGGTATACTTAGAGGACAAGGAAGACAGAAAATTGGTGGATTACTTAATTTTATTGCATATTATGCAATTGCATTACCAATAGCTTTAGTTTTAAGTAAGATTATTGGATTACAACTATTTGGGTTGTGGATTGGTATTGGCTGTGGGATGTTTTTAATTGGAGCAATCGAAACTGCAATCATCATGTGGAGTGATTGGGATGATATTTTACTTAAAGCTGGTTTATTGGTCGAATTTGAAGAAGAAGTTGAAGATGATGATTTAGATAGTGAAATTGGTGGTGGGTTTTTCTAAATTTTTGGAAGTTAAAAGAGAAAGCTTTTTTAGCAATTTATCTTTAAAATGTTATTAGCATTAGGTATATAGCATAGAATATATTATTGTTGGATAAAACTAATATAAGCTAAGCTAGCTGTTTGACGATTGTAGTCATGAAATATTGGCTCTCTTTTGTGCTAAGTTTTTGCCCAAAAAAATGTATAATTATTCAAAACTTTTGCAACCATAGACTTCTTTGCTTATTTCACCACTCAGTATTTTCGGCGCCTTTCCAGTCTTCAAAAGAACCACGTATGAGTCACACGAAGTCGGATGAAAACGAATGGAGTTTCACGCTATATGATGAATCTTTAGCAGTCTTGGAAACATCAAGAACAACTGAAGACCGTACTTCCAGCAAGTCTTCGCAGGAAAATGAAAATGATATTGAACCAAAACCTAAGGTGAATCAATACAACCCATTTATTTTAACCAAGATGAACTACTTCAAGAAGAAAAACACAACAAACACAGCTAGAATATATAACAAAGTGAAGAGAGTTTCAAGTAAACAAATACTCCTGCTGTATCGGGCCTCATCAGAGGATCAATTTCGTTGGACCAAAACCCTAAAATGGTTACAAAGAAGAGGGTTTCCTAGTGAATTAATCCTAGATAATGGTATCTTTGCTAGATTAAACATAAATAAAGAAGATACGATGATGTCTAGGTCAAGCTCTGGTTGGTTTGTTTTGAAACCAAAACAGGACAATAAAAAATAGTACGTCTTCCAACCAGAAGAAAAAATCAAATTGCTTGTCAGTTGTTTTGAACAATTTACACACCCTTACACCAAATCTTTTTTTTTTGTTAATAAACTGAAACTGATGGGAAATAACTGAAAAAAAATCAAAACAAGGTTATTTTCCTTTCTATATTATATTTTGGAAGATTACAGGAAAAAATCGGTAATCAATAAATCATGATCAAAGATAGCAAGAAAAAAACCCCTTCATGTATGTATATATCTCAGGAGAACTATTTATCTATATTGGTTTATGAACGGTTTACTAACTTTGTCGTAGTTGTTGAATTTGAAAGAATTTTACCAGATTTGTTCACTGTTTATGAAAATGCTGATAAAGAATTGAATGTTTTATCATCTGATGTCTTACCAGTGGACTTTCACGAGGATAATTCAATGGATATTGTTCAGTCTCATAAGACGTTTGTTGATTCCAAGGGACCTAATGTTAAAACCACCACAATCAATCAGAAATACCAAGATAAGAAATATACGTCCCCATATGAACTTTATCACGATATCAAGATTGTATGCTCTGTATTGTTGAACAACACAGAAGTGGGATCAAAGGAATACAAAGAGTTAGATTTCTTTTATAAATTCACTACGGAAATTTTGTTACGTGAAGTTGGAAGTATCATTGTGTTCAATAATCCAGTAGCAGAAGTTAAATCAGAATTGGAAACTCAACTACAAGAAGATTTTGATAAGATTATAACATCCTATAACATTAGTAATGGGGAAGTGATAACATATATCTCGAAAACCGAAGAACAAGAGCCCCAACAACCATACTCAAACTTATATGCTAATCAATCTCCAGTTGTAAAACAAAGAATCCAGCCATTATTTTCATCCGTTATAAATAAGTCAGAATTGGACAGTAATAGAACAATTGTACCCGACCCTTTCTCAGTTTCTAAAGTCGTACCTATTGTGAAGGATTCAGCCAGATCCGAAAGCGTGTTAGATCAATTAACTCCAATAAGTAACAAGATCCCATCACCCTTGGAAGCTTCGAGTTCCCAAATATTGCACGACTTCTTTCATCCAACGTGGTATACCATTAATGTACCAACTTGGTTAACATATAAAGCACAAACCATCAAACCAACAAGCAGCTTTCCTCTAAATACTTCGCTCATTTCAAATAACGCGCAAGGTCAAAAACCAAAATTAGCAGTTTTACAACAGAGAGAGGCAGACTCTTCGATTTTATCAGTTGATCCTGCTTCTGTTTGGGGATCTGGTAATAGTTATAGATCATTTGCTCCCAGGATAGATAGTAAAGAATCAATCATTGGTGGTGAATTAAAGGGAAGAATATGGCTTCATCATATAGGTATATCCGAAATTGAAAAAATCAAACAAAAATATTTTGATGAATCAGAAAAATTAGATGATATTGAAATGAAAGATGAAGAGGTGGAGGTGGAGGAAGGTGATCAAGAAGTTGAAGGCGAACTGAAACCAAATGGAGATAACATGAAGGACACCCAAGAAAGTGAAGATATCAAGGTAGAAGGAGTGGAGGAAGAAAAGCCAGCTATACAGGAGGAAGAAGAATCACCCATTACAGATATTAATATTGCTAATTTAGTACAATGGGACCCTTCCAAATTGGAAGAGTTGAATTATTTGAAGGAATTAAAACAAGATATTGTAAAGCCAGTGAAATTACAAAAATTAATTTGTAACGCTTTATTGAAATTGAATAAATTACGACAAGAAAGATATCTTAAGAGTGACATTAGAAATCCATTAACTCCAAACCAAGAAGAAGTTAAATTGTATCATAGAATACAAAAGTTTATTACTCTTGCTATTCAATTATATAAGATAAGCCCTCAAACATTTTCATATGAATTTAGTCAAAAGATTCCAGTTTTAGTATCAGAATTCAATGGTACTTTGCCAGGCATAGCTCCAACGAGATTAGCTAGTGGTACTTCCTTAACTAAACCTGGAAGATTACCCAGTATTAATAAGTTAAGTAAGAAGAAAAGGTATTAGACGAAAAACCCTCCACCCAAGTATTAAGTATATGTATTTTTAATATAATTTCAAAACTATGTATTTCTATATTAAAACCACTAAATCGAAGCCCCATGGGCAAATTGAACAAGTAGATAAATATTCAAAGATGTAATCACTAACCAAGTTAAGATACTTACTGTTCTAAGGAAAGTACCATTCTCAAAGCTAATTTGTTTATGTACATATTGTCCACTACGATTTGAATGATGATCATTTTCTAAAAGCAAACTTGTTTCACTTGAGTTAGGAGATACATCATGAACAGTCATGAATTCTTTCTTTGAAGTGAAATATATTAATGGTGCACTAACGATAGGTAAGATAAAACTTAAAACCACTTGAGAAGAATTCATAACTTTTGATACCCCTTCTCTACCCATAATACTAATCACAATTACCACAGGTACGATTGCCAATACCCGGGTAAATATTCTTCTTTTCCATGGTTTTATATTCCAATGAATGAAACCTTCACTAATAATTTGCCCTGCCATTGTACATACAATCCCAGCACTCTGACCAGCAAACAACATTGAAAGAGCAAACACAAACCCTGCAGTTGGTGAAATATAATAAGATAACATTTTATAGATTGACAATAAATCAGCATCTTCAGCATCTGGTTTACCATATAAAGAAGATCCTGCCACGATTAAGATTGCTGAATTGACAAATACTGCGACAGTAAATAAAGATATTACCAATTCGATATATGAGAATGTCAAACAATATTTAATGGCTGAAAAGGAAGGTTTATACTTTCTTATAAGGATTGATCCATCTGATATTCTTCTAAGACGAGAAGTTTGTGGAGGGAAATCAACAATTGCATCCAGATCACTATCACCTTCTTGAACAATTTCTTTATCATGCTTTTCGTCATATTCTTTTAATCTTGGTTGTACTAATGCTGATCCTAAGTATAATGAATGTGGCATGACGGTACTACCCACAATACCACAACTGAGGAATAAAGCAGTGGATTCAGTGAAAACTTCTCTATGAACTGGTAAAAATCCTTTAAATATTTCCCAGCCTGTCCCAGGTTCAAAATTACATTTGAATAATTCCATAATAAAACATACACAAGTTGCCAATACTAGAATAGATACAAAGGATTCAAAAAATCTCGTTTGTTTCATAGTTCCATCTTTTCTATATGCCATAAGAATAATCAATACATCCAAAACTGTGATGAAAACTCCAATCAACATAGGGATTCCAAAAATGATTTCTAATGCAATAGCAGTCCCGACAACTTCCGCTAAATCAGTCGCTATAATTGCTAATTCTGCACATATATACATGAATAAATTTAATTTTGGATCTAAATGTAATCGACACATTTCTGCTAAATCTAATCCAGTTACTGAACCTAATTTGACACATAATGCTTGTAAAATGATTGCTGATATGTTAGCCATAAATATAATGAAACATAGTTTGTATTGATACATTGACCCGGATGAGACAGATGTTTGATAATTTCCTGGATCCATATAACTGACACTAACAACTAATCCTGGGCCAATAAATGAGTAGTATTTCTTGAGGACTTTAGTTGCCAGAGCGACAAATTCTTTCGCCTGTTTCAATGACATATCTACTTTTGGTCTAATAAGGACTCTCTAATCTATATGTTAATTTGTAATATGAAAAAGAAAAAGGTTTATTAATGGATTCTAAATTTGTGTTTTGTAACAGAAAGCTTCGTAATTCTTTTTTTGGTATAAAGAATTTCTTTTCCTAAATTTTCCGCTTAATCTTTTATTTTTTAACAAATTCCTGGGGGGAATCACTTTACAAACTAACTTTCTAATCATCTGATTTTCAATCAAATGATATCCAAATAGGATTCTATTTTTCAAAGAGCTAGGGCTTGTATTAGACAAAACTAAATATCCGTATATTTAGCTCTTTAAGTTCAACCCCCCCCTGTAATATCGGAATATCAGTAATAATTAGTTATTAAATTACCCAACAGTAATAGAGGGGAAAATCCCATCCACCAATTTATGGTCTGATTTTAAGGCATCATACTTGGTGGACTTGACAAAAGATTATTAATGTATCACTGAAACGCTTATGGGCAAAATTTTATATCATGAAATGACTCATGCTTACATCTTGGGACATAATAACCGAGAAGTGTATGATGGCTTCGAGTCAATGTACGTATCATTCTTTCCTGACATTGAATAACGAGTCTCGTTTTGTAATTTAACTTCGCAACCCTTTAGAATTATAACTCTCCATCTCTCTTTCCTCCTCTCTCTCACACACAAAGTCTATGACTCCATTGATATACATTTCTTATTATCTATCACATTTACTCTCTCTGTATCTTGAAGTTTAGGATTTTGTAATTTTTTGAGTTAACAATGTTTTTGGTGATCAATAAGTGGATCCAACCTCCGTTGTGCGGCAACTTATCAACCAGTTTGAAAAATAAAAAACAGCCAATGAAAAATTATCTTGGCTTAATCACTGTTTTCTTAGACAAAAGTGTACAATAGATTATATTCAAAGGACTTTAAATGGGTGTCTTCTATAATGTTGAGAGACCCATTGGTACTCAGATGATGCTCTTCAGATACACCATTCTAGGAGTAAGGAGGTTTTCAAATAGTATAGTTAGACTAAAAACACAACAAGAAACAACTCTTGTTTACAATCTTTTAAACTACAAGAGTTCATTCCCGCAAGATTCAATAATAAATAGCAATATCACTCAATTGTGTCAATTGTTAAAGCACAAACAGGACACTTCAACTTTAAGGATAGGAATACTATATGAGAATCATCATACTCAATCTAATTCCAAAATCATAGAATGTTTATTAGCAGATCCATTCTCCGAGAGTAATGCTAAATGGTTCAAAGAGATTATATCTAGAAATAAAAACTCAACAACCCAGTTTACTTACGGGGTCGAGGCAGATCGTACCGCGAATACCTATAAAATTCCATCTCCAATACTTAGTGGACTTTATAGATCAAGTTTTAAGGAAACCCCGAAAGAAACAGAATTTCCAAATGATATAATAATTGACGAAATTATAGATCATTCAAGCATTGACATCTTCAACTATACATTTCTCATAAATATAAAGAATCAAATAAGTACTCAAGATTATCCAACAGAAATCCAAAATAAGATTCTCTTAAATGTAATTGATAATAAAGAATATACTCCATCTAGTACTGAGAATAGTCCAGTTACTTTCAAAAATCAATCTCATAGTCATATAATCAAACTAAACAGTACCTTAGCATATGATGGTATAACAGATTTCATAGAGAATGACGTTGCTGCATCTTCTCGTTATTTTGATCACATGCGTAATAGTAATTTGTATGAATTATTGAAAGCAATCACTTGGTTCCTGAGATCAGATATAATTGGCTCCTGGTTGTTAAATAATATTCAAAGTAATATAGAAGAAAAGACGCATTCTGCATTAACCCCTGCAAAAGTCAATCTTGTCGTTAAAACTGATATTTCAAAATTTGTCGATTCAGTAAATCGTGAACTTCAATATGAATTTGAACCCAAGACCGAGAAATTTTTCCATTCAAGACTCAATTGGTGGAAATTATATTATAAGAATGATAATGTTTCATATGATATCAAGGATTTTTTTAATTTGAATTTTATGAATAAAAGTATTGAACAGTTCAATTTTATAAAAGGAAAAATTACCACCAACGATAACGAGATTAATAATCCATTATTGGCATTAAAGACAGAAGTAATCAATAAAAGAGTTGAACAAGAAGTTCAGCCTGTGGTATATAAGGCATTAGGTACTGCTTTTGTATATTACCAATTACCTATTTCAATATTATCATTTGTTGCATATCAACATTTTGATTTTACTGTCAATGCTGCTATTGCACTTTTGGGTTTGGGATGGGTAGTTGGATTTAATCATGTGTCCAAGGTTTGGACAGGATTTTCAAATGAATGGTTAAATAAATTATTTGAAGAAGTAAGACTTTGTCTTGGTAAAGATTGTATTGATGAAGGGTTATTGAAACAATCGAATGAAAAGTTAGTTCACGATACTAAATTATCTAATTTACGACTTGACATTCTTGAAAAGGTTAGAAAGAGTAACATATCTTTCAATAAATAGATGTATATATTAAAATTTATGAAAAACACTAATCAAATTAACCCAAAAACAATACTATAATTACAAAATCAAAAATATAAAAAAAAGACCGTTGTTGACTAAAATCCTTTATAAAGCAGGAACTGGCTCTTCATCAGAATATTCAGTTCTATTCTTTTTTAGCAGTTGTTCTAATCTTTCAAATTCTTTTAATGCAATTTCTTCTTCTGGATCAAGTATCTGAACAACCTCATTGACTTCATCAATATAATGCTGCAACATTGCTTCAATACCATGCTTTAAAGTATCTTCACTCAAAGAACAAGACTTACAAGCACCTTGCAATTTCAAAAATACAGTACCAGTTTCTTCATCAAATGCTTTATATTCGATATCTCCTCCATCATCCTGAATAGCTGGTCTTATTCTAGTTTCAATCAATTCTTTAATCATAGCAACAACTTCATTATCTTCAGCTGCTGAAGCTTCTTCATTTACCTTATCTAATAATTCTTTAGTAATTACTGGTTCTTTATGACTAGTCAAGAATGAATCTAGCAATCCTACCACTTCGGGTCTTAAATTAGCCCAATGAATATGATCTTGTTTATTCACGGTAAGGAAATCATGTCCTAACATAACCGATTTAACACCTGGAAGTTTGAATATACGTAACGCTAAAGGAGAATGAACTGCTTCTAAGGTTGTAGTGAATTCAAATGTCTTATCTTCAATGGGTACAATAGAACATTCTGGTGATACAAATTTTAATGCATTTGGATTTGGTGTTGGATATGTTTTGAATGATAAGAATCTGGAAGTCATTCTAGAACGTAAAATATTATTTCTAATTGGAAGCATAATGAATTATGATGATAACGATGATGATCTGCAACAAAAACACTAAAATGTATAGAATTATAAGGAATATTGATATTTATAAAGCTGTATTCAAATGATTATTAATTCAAACTTCGGTCCCGAATTTCGCAAAGCAAGTAATTCCCTTTTTTTTTCTGATAATCTGGAGAGAAATTTTTTTTGAGAAGGTTTGGGCCCTCTGCTTACTTCAAGTTTTTTTTGATTGGCGCGATGCCATTTTGTGGGTTTTGAACGGTTTATAGGACCGAGAGAAGTTATTTATAAATACGGTGCATTGTACAAATCTTACACCGAGAGGTTATATGCAGGCATTATGATATGAAACAGATCTTCTAGTAAAATCGAGAATGATGTAATTTTTAACTTCATATACATGTAGATGATAACCTGAGCTTAATCTTTGAAATCATGTACAGCCGGCATTAATAAGGTCAATCTTTTACAATCTGATTCAGAGATAATAAAGACTATCGACTAATGACTCCCGCCTAGATACAAACTATGAGAAGCATGTTTTGCGTATGGAAACCCGACCATAGGCGCCATTCTGTACATTTTTACATCTAGACCTTCAGCATCAGTTGAATCGATTGAATTATACTATCGATAAGTAAGAAAGTTCGTCGTCGCAACTTTCAATTGGGGATACATTCGTGTCCCCTTAATGCTGTATTACGCAAGTTTTAAGTAGTATCTCAAGGCAAACTTCTAGAGAAGAAAGATTTGTTTCTTGAAGAGAGAGATTATGATAATTTCAACAAAGTTGCATATCTCTAAATTGTCCAGTGAATACATTTCGAAGTCGTTGCTTTGACTTTCGCATGTTCGCGTAGACTGCTACGCTTGAATCACATAGAATACACATAGGTCATTCTAAGTCCGCAATTCTTGTAGACAACGGGCGTTTTTTAAAAGGGCCAACGGATATTTGCTAACAGAGTATATTCCACGTATTCAGTTTCTCAATCCTGTAGGGGAAATTACTACCACTTTGACATTTCCATATAGTAAATTTGATTTCGGATTTCTTCGACGGACTTTCTTTATATCTTCAATGAATAACTCAAATAACAATGAATATGTATTAATATTTCAACATGGATGTCACTAAACACATATTCTATAAACATACAACTATCATTATGGATAACATCTATCACTTAAAACTATTCGAAATAGACACGGTTTATTTTATCTGTCTAATAAGTAATGACTCAAAATATTTAGTGTCCTTCTGGAGCAGCACCACCGTTTCTGAATCTTGGATGTCTTGGATCGTTAATGAATTCAGCGGAGTTCATGGAAGCAACTGAAGCCTTGTAGACTAAGTAGTAAGTGATGGCAGCTAAAACTTGTAGTTAGTATTCGATTATCCTCGATTGCAAGTTGGTCCTATGTTGCTGAGAATAATTGACATGATAGTTCCATCGGACGACTTTTAAGTATTAAGTACAGTATTCAGAACCTCAACGTGGTTGAAGTTATGATTCAACTTCAATGATATTTCGCTTATTCCTCAACACATTTTTCTTCCAGATAGTAAATTACATACCACCAGCAGCGTATGGCCAGTAAGTCTTTAAAACTGGGAATGGATATCTTTTGAGTGCCATTGTGTTAATCTCGTATGATGTGGTTTATATAAGCTTGTATAGGAATTTTTCAATTTTGAATGGTGAATTTTTTTTCTTTGCATAGAGAGTTGAAGTGAGAGAAAAAATCGGTTTACTATGAAGAAGGGAATAAACTAATTTCATTGGACAGAGGCTGTATACAGGAATGACCTTTTTTTAACTATGTATTTCATACACACGAATTTCTTGAGTTCCAATCCTAAACCAACAATTGGTAGTCAAAGATTCTGGCTTCTCTATTTTGGATTTAATAGACCACTTACTTGTAAACCATTTTTCAAGTTGTTCTTCCCAGATTTTTATTGTTTCTATACTCCTTACAGTTGCTGCGATTATTGCGAATTTTGTATTCTTGTTAACAAAGAAATCATTGATGGTGAAACATAATGTTTCCAATAGAGTCGAGTCAAACGTTATATCTGCACCAATTAAGAAATCTATATCTTCTTGTATGTTTAAATCATCACCCCATATTAGTTGCTGGCATCTAATATTTGCTTCATTCTGAAGATTATTCAGCTTCAAAGTCTCATAAAGATTATCAAATACGCTAGTTGACCCATCAGTCATCACAATTTGTCTTATGGAACCATAGTTGTGTTGATAATTCTTTGCGAGAGCAAGACTTGTTAATCCTGTTCCACATCCTAATTCCAATACATTGCTATCTCTAAAATCGTAGGGTGGTTCGGGACCATCATTTAGGAAGTTCGACAAATACAATGCCGCTTCCCATGTCCTTAACCCAGTTGTGTTGCTTCCAGTTATCACTTTAGGCGTTTCCTTTACCAAGATAGATTCGTAATCCTTTCCCAAATACTCTTTACTAGCAAGCCCATTCACATAGTACTTTATTATTTCAGGAGTATCTGGTGGCGATTCAACCGCGTTCAAAATTAAGGAGGAGCAGAACAATTCATATAGTTCATCTGATATTTCCTCGCTGGAATTCTCTATATGTTTGATATATTCTCGAAGAATAATCTTTGCATAGTATGGATTGATTTTCAAGATTGTCTTTGTTATGTGTCTGACTAACGATAATTGAGAGTCATATGTTAGACATTCTGATGAAATGATAAGTTGTTTAGGATTTACCCTTTGGTTCAAATAGGAGTATAGTTTGTCCATTCCTTATACATATTCCCTAACGCCCTACTTCTATGTGTTGGGGTGGTTGCATGGTGCGAATCTAGGTGCGTAAATTTGTTTCAGGGCATAATTCTCGCACAGAAATGAGTTTGAGGGTTTTTTGCGTTTTTGATTTTCTTGCCTAAACCAACGACGGATTCTTGAGGATATTGCAGAGAATGTTCATAAGGCTATGTGATGTTGACAAAGGTTTCTGTAGACAAGTACCATTAGGTGTCAAGGTGGCGTTAGACACATTAGCCTATTAAGCTTTTTCACAACTCAAGATAGCTTATCTCGCCATTGCTTTTTTTGGCTCATCAAACTGTTACAAACCTGGCTGCAAACCTAAATTATGTTTGAACCAAGTTATAACGGACTAAGACGCAAAGTTTTCATCTTCCAAACCCTTTCGTTTATTCGTTGCTAGATACAATCATTGTCATTTCAACTTCACTGAGGTGTGTGACTGATATACCCCTTGTTCTTGAAAGTTTTCATAACATACTTGCTTGTACACGTGTCAAATTTCTCAAAAGATCAGATATTCAAACTCGTTACAGTTCAATCATCCTGGTATTCGTAAATTGAAAACACATAAGAGCATTTTTTTTGAATATTGGTATGTTACTATGAATGAACAAATCGTCAGTTGGGGATTATGCAAACGTTCCTAATTGGATGCATTTTTAATTTAAAGTCATCACCTCCAAAAAAATAAAAATTTTGGGGCTAAAAGCACGCAAAAGCGGAGAATATAAATAGACTTACAAATCTACGTAATTCTTAAATAAAAATCATCTCACTTCTTCTTTCTCTTCTTCGATTCATCATATATAATCAATTCATTCGATATATATTACAAATAATACTATTAGTAACACAATGCACTTCAACTTAGTTAACTCATCAGACCCAACTTGCAAATGTGGAGGTGAATGCAAATGCGGATGCTCAGATACTGTCCCATGTGAATGTGGTAAGAAATAAATCTATTAATTCTTAATCAATTGCAGCATTAAATGTTCAATTGAGTTGCTATTATGATGATTGAATGGGGTTATTTATGATTTGTTATGGTTTTCTTTTTTGTTTTTTTGTTTAAGGTTTATAGTTCATATGTTTCAATACATGATATTAACTGCTACTTTGATTATTGTAGTCTGTAGAGAATAGTAAGGAGAGCATAGATGATGTGTCTTGGGTTTACGTAATTCTCAGACAGTTGTTTCGCCATTTCATTCAACCAAATTTCAAGGGAGATCTCTCTAAGCGTTTGGTTATTTTTTTTTCCCTTCACATACAGTAAATACCTTATAAACAAAGGATGGAGATAAGAGTCATTATCAACCTCTTGAGGGAGGATCGATTAGCCTCTGCATCTTCCAATGGCCAACATCAATCTATTTTGTATAGTAAGATGATCATCGAACTTTTACTTAAAATACCCCGGTCGATATGGTAGCGATGACGAATTATACATTCGTTACATAGAGAATGTCTTGAAGGAACAGCAAATTAAGAAATTGAAGAAACTTCTCTCTGTCGATGAAGGAATGGCAGATGTAATGGCTACCAAAAAAGAAAATTGGGCCAAAAGTATGAACATTGAATGTATTTTGGACATGTCATATCTAAAGAGACACCCTGCTCAGAATGTGCTGATTCAATGAAACACCTTGATCATTCGAGTCTAGCTATTAACTGGTACTTAGCTCCTTTCCTTGGTATATCTTCTTATAATTCTACTTTTCATAGGCCATTCAATCACGTATAGAGATGACTACTGCCAAACCCTTGTGCAAGATGAACAGTTCAATTACCTACGCTATTCAAAGCCATTCGTGTAGTTACCTGTCCCGCTGTCGCTTCATTTCTGGAAGGGAAGGGCATACTCAAAATTACCCAGATAAGGCGATGAAAGTGATATTAAATGGCGAGAAAGATTATTCTGTACCACCTTCTCAAGTCTACTCGTGAGAAGCTAGGGGATTGGCTATCAGATCTTTCAAGGGTGTTTGATTTTGGGATCGCGAGGTAAAACTTGACAAAATAATCTCTTCGATCGTCACGTAGTAAAACGTAATGAATCTGACGAGATTATAAATGTCAATAAATGACCATGATTGCGTTTTTATGTTGCCCGCACTAAGAAGTACTTGTTAGCTTGAAACGTTTCCTTGTCCAGATAAAGTGTTGCAAGACACAGAACGCAGAGGTTTTTCGCTCCTGAATACTTCCAACCAAAAATAAAGTCAGACGATATATTTTGAGCGCCGTGGAGAGGTCATTCGGAGATTTCGTACAATGTTTTTCTACTACATCAATTCCAAAATTTAAGATACATTCTCAAGGAAATCTATTATTATTTCAGAAAAAAGAAAAGACACCGCCAGAGTTTGCATCTCCGAAGAAAATGAAGGGCGACATTTGTAAGATCAAATCTTAGTTGATTCAAAGTTGATCTGATGACTTTCATGATCGGCGATGACTCTTTGAATCCAGATCTAGTTAAAATATTAAATGTATTACGTTGGAAATTTCGCAGAGTGCTGGTTAGCGTAAGGAATTGCCGAGGTCCTACATTCAAATAATTGTGTAGAAATAGGCTAGTAAGACCTAATTTCAACACCTTATGATGTCTGATTGTTAACCTTCTTTTACGGTTAATTCATCCTGGTAGCCTCGATGATTTCCGCTAGGCTAATAGGATCTATTAAACCAACTGAAGTATATCTCCATCTTGTAATTTCTTTTTTTTTTTGTAATTATTATTCCGTTAAATATTTTTTGGATCAATATTTTGCAGCAAAAAGAACTTGATGTGCTTAAAAATATAAGTTGCCTTAGTTGATGATAGTTTTAAAATTTTTCAAAGATGGAAACCCATGACCTTCATGATTTAGCTAACTAAATTGATCATTTCTCCGTAAGGCAAAGTTGTCGTTATTCGATGTATATTAGTTGGGCCTGGAGTTTACGTATTTGGGTTCTACAGTAGATTAGAATTGTCGATATTTTTGGTAGACCCTATGATGTCTTATACACGTAAGCAGACACCTTCCACCTACCTGTGACCCAATGAAGCCTTCTTGACTGTCATCTTAAAGTCAAACATTGATTAATTATTGTAAATAATAAAAAATTTTGCATCACTATTTTGTAAGGCTTTAGCCACATTTTTTATAGAGACTAAATTAAAAAATAAACATAGCATGCGCTCCGTTGTTAGAAAACTAATCTATAAAGAATCATTGAATGGTTCTATGACCTCGCATAATATAAATATTGCTTCAAATTCTTCTTCTTCTTCTTCTTCTCCCAAAAGAAGATTATTATATTTGATATTCCCTAGATTAAAACAAAATCTTCAAATGTACAGAAACATCTACCTTACACTTTATTTTATCTATTGCCTCTTTGACATCCTGAATGCTTATCATTTATACAAACAACAAGAAGGGAATACCAAAAGAGACCAGAATATACTAACTTTTAGAGTTTTTAACCATAATATAAGGAACGGCGGCCCGAGCTTAATGAAAGGAGAAAAGCCTTGGGCCGAACGTAAGGATGCGCTCGTTTCAGCCATGAAGGCATGTAACCTTGGAATTCCAACATTTTTTACACTTCAAGAAGTATTTGTTAATCAACTTAACGATATCAAGTATGGCCTTAATGGAGACGAGTATTCTTACCCTTGGACTCATTTTGGAACTGGCCGCGACGATGGTGCAAATACTGGTGAGTTTTCACCAATTATATATAATGCTGAAGATTGGAACTTACAGAGCGGTACTCAGAAATGGTTGAGTCTTACACCAGATATCCCCTCTGCACATCCTTCTACAACCTATAAAAGAATTGTGACTATATGTACGTTTATTCACAAACAGACTGGTGCTGGGATTAATGTACTTAACACACATTATGATCACAAGTCCAACGAAGCAAGAAATTATGGTTCCGATTTAATTGTAAAGTATGTGGACGAACTAGGAAATGGTTATCCAACGGTTGTTGCTGGTGATATTAACTCAAAACGAACTGGATCTTCTTACATGATTCTTGCAACAGCGTTGGATGATACCTCCAATATTGCAAGCACAAAGATCAACGAGAATATGTGTACAGTTTCCGGGTTCTCTGGGGCAGAAGGAGATACCATTGATTTTATTTTTGCAAGCAGAGGAAATATTCTAGCTTCTAAACATGAAATCATGGAAAATTTAATGGATGACGGTTTTAGGTTCAGTGACCATAGACCAGTAATTGCTGACATCACTATCTAAGCTGACAGTCTAGCCAAAGTTAACCTGAAAGCTCTTATTTTATAAATTTATGTCTTTAACGATTGTTATGTTTTTATACCTATGTAACTATTATTATATATTTTCTTGAGTTTATTAGTTATGCAGAAGTGTATTCAGTTGCCTGAGTTTCCCTAATTTCAATAAGTTTGACGAAATTAATTTAAATTTTTTGCAGCAATTCCGAAAATAATATTTTGTTGCTAATTGATTAATTAGCATTTCAGAATATTTTTTATTTATTACAGCTTCTGTTCTTTTGAATATCCAATATCAGAAACTTGGAAGTCGAGGGAATATGATAACATTGGAACATAATGACAAAACCACGCTTGGAGTAAGCATGAAAAAGACAAAGGTTCATAAGTAACAGTACTCTTCTAGTGAAAGGATGACATACAAACTCTATCTCAATTTAGTGATTGTATGTAAGCAACATATCGGGAGAAAAAAAGGTTCCACCATCAATTGGATGGAGAAGACACAATTGCAATGTAGCTAGCGTTACTTTTTTTTTTTAATTTCCTAGATCCTATATGTGTTCGGTATCACGCTTAATTAAGCTTGCGATATCAATGTAAAATATCGTGGAAAGTGAGGATTATTCTTTTTCAAATAAATGGTCTACTTTTGTTTGGAAGGGCAAATATCACGTTTCGCTTAATCCATGATGTATACATAATAGAAATCCATATAACACAGAAACCAATATATGGCATGAAAGGACGACAATTACACGAGGGTTGATAAGCTCTTCCGCTTGTTTGTTGTCTCAGCTGTTATCAACGCTTTTAATGAAAGCGTGTTATATAATCGCTAAAAGAGAAAAAGTTTGATTATTCCATTTCATTTTTCAGAGTAGGTTTTTGGTATCACACTGATATAGTCTTACATCTCTTCATAGCTTTTTATTCTGCATGAATCATAGAAAATGCTGCAAGCCCAAAACGAAATTGGAAACTTCTTTTATTTATTGTGATTCGGCTCATAAGAATTTCAAAGTCCCTAGTAAGTCGTGTACCTTGTACATATTCTATTCTCAAAGTAAAATTCCCAACTCTTTGTCAGACAGAGGCAAAAAAAAAACCAGTGAAAATTAATCTCCCCCATTGGGTCTTATTTCATCAGCCCAGTACCCATCATTAAATCCGAAATGTCTCTTATCGCAGCTAGAGGCAGGATAGCCTCCATGAGAATGATAAGGAGAGCTCTTCCAGGTGTTACAACTATTGCATTGACTAGAAATTTCCATCAGTCAATAAAATTACTTGAGAAAAATAAAGACCCAAAGAACTACTTTAATGACCTTCAGAATATGTTCAAGAAATTTGACAAGAAGAAGTACGGCCTTGAAATCAGTTCACATATCCATGATCCACGAGAAGCATTTGCAAAGAATTTGATAACAGATCCGGGGATCGATGTATCATCAGATGCATTTGATCCTGCCTTTGCTCACCGATTACAAGCAGTCTATTCATTTTGCATAGAAGAGTGTCGTATACAGTGCGAGTTGATGAAGAAGCATGACCAGAAATATTTGAATACCAATTATCATACATTATTTAAGCAGATGCAAGAAACGTTTCGTAGCCAAAACCCGGGTCTTGCGCCATTAAAAGAAGAAGAAATATTGAAGTGCTTTCAGATTTTCTATGTAATTCTGAATAATTTCGTATACCTAGATGAGTTGAGGTTTAGTAATGGAAAAGTGAACCGCATGTTAAGATTGTATTCCAACTTATCTCCAACTGCCAACATGCATGATTTTATTACTGATTATGCAACTATGTTTAAATTCGACCCCGAAGCGGTAAGATCATGGCACAAGATTTTTGACACGTTGGAATCGATTCCACTTTCTAACAAAGGAATTGCCACCAACAAGCTTTGTCCAGATAGCTATGAATTGGAAAGATTTGGTGAGATGCTTACAAATGACATTAAGAACCAGTTCTACAAGCCGCCACAAGACCCTTTTTCAGAGCTGAAACCTTCATCATCAGACCTGAAAAAGTCTTCATCTGAATCGAAACCACCCAAGAAGGATAGTGACTCCAATGTTATTACTTTTGATCTCCATCCCCAAAAATTGTTTCAATTCGGTGCATTATTTGGTCTTACTTTGTATATCCTTTATTCCATGTATTCAGAAACTGACGAAAACGAGATCACTTTCCAAGAATTCACTTCTAAGTTTTTATCACAGAATTTGGTTTCCAAAGTGATTATAATCAACAATAGAACTGCCCTTATTGAACTTAATTCCAATGGTAAGGCACAATATTCCCATCATCAAGGATCATTCTATTTTGCAATTGGATCCGTAGAAACATTCGAACGTAACTTACGTGAAGTTCAAGATAAGTATGGAGTTGCTCCATCAATGCGTGTTCCAGTGTTGTATACCACACAAGGAAGTCTCGCCAAGATGATTATTAACTTCGTTCCAACATTATTATTCTTGGGTGCAATTTATTACATGACCAAGAAAGCAGGTGCCGGAATGGGAGGTATGGGTGGTCCAATGGGATTTGGAAAATCTACCGCTAAAAAATTTAATCAAGAAACTGAAGTCAAGATCAGATTTAAGGATGTTGCAGGTATGTCTGAAGCAAAGCAAGAAGTTATGGAATTTGTTAAATTTTTACAAAATCCTGAAAAATATGAAAAATTAGGTGCAAAGATCCCTAGAGGTGCAATTCTTTCTGGCCCACCAGGTACTGGTAAAACTCTTATTGCCAAAGCAACTGCAGGTGAAGCTGGAGTCCCATTCTATTCGGTTTCTGGTTCTGAATTTGTAGAAATGTTCGTCGGGGTTGGTGCATCTCGTGTACGTGATTTATTCAAGACTGCCCGTGAAAACGCTCCATCTATTGTTTTTGTGGATGAAATTGATGCTATTGGTAAGCTGCGTTCTAAAGGTAATATGAGTGGTGCCAATGATGAACGTGAAACAACATTGAACCAGCTTTTGGTTGAAATGGATGGTTTCGATACCAGTGACCATGTGGTTGTCTTAGCAGGTACTAATAGGGCAGATATGTTAGATAAGGCGTTAATGAGACCTGGTAGATTTGATAGGCATATTCATATTGATAATCCAGAATTACAAGGAAGAAAGGAAATCTTTGAAGTACATTTAAAAAAGATTAAATTGCAAAAGAATATTGATCATGATTTGTCAGGCAGACTTGCTGCTTTAACACCAGGGTTTTCAGGTGCAGATATTGCGAATGTTTGTAATGAAGCTGCATTAATCGGTGCAAGATATAATGCAGAATCAGTAACTTTAAGGCACTTCGAATTGGCAATTGAAAGGGTAATTGGTGGTATTGAAAAGAAATCCAAGCTTTTGAAACCAGAAGAAAAGAAAATTGTTGCATATCATGAAGCTGGTCATGCTGTTTGCGGTTGGTATTTAGAGTTTGCCCATCCATTGTTGAAAGTTTCTATTATTCCAAGGGGCCAAGGTGCATTGGGTTATGCTCAATACTTACCTCCTGATGAATACTTATTGAATGTCAAGCAATTGTATCACAGAATGACCATGACTTTAGGTGGAAGAGTTTCTGAAGAGTTAAATTTTAATTCGGTTACCAGTGGTGCTCATGATGATTTCAAAAAAGTAACTCAAATTGCCCAATCAATGGTGTTGAGATTTGGTATGTCTGAAAAAGTAGGATTGGTCAATTATGCTGATACCCGATCGCAAGATGATTTAACAAAGCCATTTAGTGAAGCTACCAATAAATTAATTGATGAGGAAGTACAAAGAATCGTTACTGAATGTTATACTAAATGTAAGGAAATATTACAAGAGAAATCAAAAGAAGTTGAATTGGTTGCCAATGAATTGTTAACTAAAGAAAGTATAACACGAGAAGATATGATTCGGTTATTAGGTAGAAGACCATTCCCAGAAACTAATGATGCCTTCGATAAGTATCTTGCGAATAAGCCTGCATTTAAGAACGAGCAACCAGATTGTGAGCATAAGGATGATGATGTGTACACTAAAGAGACATAATCTTTTGATTTGCGACTATTGTTTGCGTTTAAGTTATAAATATTTTTAATATGTCTAAATCTTGTATATAGAGATAACCAAGGAACATACAGATTTCACTCGATTAGTCAAAATGTTGCGAAGTTCTATAGATCCCGGAAATTCCATAGGATGAATAACTCACTTGACTCTCTACATCATCTAACTATATGAAAGCGATATTCAAGAATAGACATGTGGATGACGTTCATCAATCTGCGAAACAAGGGTGTATCATAAATTTCATCCCGAATAACAGCATACTCAGTTTCTGCCATAGTTTTTCACGAAAAAACCCTAAGTCTATTGTCTTTTCGAATTTCTCTATACCCACCCTCCGTCTCATCATTACCGAGATGAATACCATGATACTTATTGGTTTTTAGGTATGACAAGATGTACGTAAGAAAACATCATGACTTTTCATTCTCCTGATTCTATTTGCATGTAATTTAATAACTTAGATTGTTTGGGTAGAACTAGTACCGATACACAGACGCGTGTCAGTTGCATAGTTAGTATCGTTATGTCACCCTCATACCTCTGAGAAAGGTGAAGCCAGCGCAGAAAGGGGAAAGCTTGGGTAAGCTATAAACTGATCTAAACTAGACTGAATTATGCATAAAATATATAAAATCTCGGTTACTAAATTACACTGGAACTTAGGGGAATTACACTGATATTTATAAATGAACTGAACCTGTTGCACGATTGCTCCCCATGTGGAGACCAGAAAACATCGAAATATGTATGCAATTTCATACATACTTAAACATCAGCGGCGCCAAAGGTGATGTTCATGAAAGCTCAGGAAGGAGCTTGTCTAAATTCTGCCAAGACACAAAGACTCTAATAAACATGGACAACGGCGCGCCATGGCCCAATGCGTTGGCTGAAGGAACTATCGCCAATGCCAATCCAGACACAGACCTAAGTTGGCATGAAACACGCCAAGAGAGGCCTCCTTCTAATTGTCAAGGACCCAACCGGTAATCATAGCATGGACATATCAAAAATGAGGATAAAATCTAGAACTTATTGCATTGAAGCTTTGGCTCCAAAAATGCAGACCGTCCCTATATCATGTTTCTTTTTGAATTTTATCGATACACTTACCAACACTATGTTCATAATTTCTCCACAATAGTAGTGTTTTGAGTTTGGAGATCGAACAATCTATTACAAGATGAGTCGCAAACCACCAAAAAGCAATTATATTCTTAATTGTCTTAGTACCAAACGTCATATTATATTCAATTTCAGGACTAGGTAAAATAAGGGACACTACGCAAGTCCTTCATACTACGACCGACGGAAAGATACTTCCCGAGGATTCCAATGTCGATATCCATCAGGTATTACCTCCCCTGGAAGTCAGAAAGACAGAAAAGGTAAAAGCTGCTTTTGTGACACTTGCCGGAAACCGAGAGATATATGGATTGTTACTGTCCATTACTCATGTTGAAGACCGCTTTAACGGAAAATTTAACTATGATTGGGTGTTCTTCAAGGATGTACCATTTACCGAAGAATTCATCAAGTTGACCACGTCGGCGGTCTCAGGAGATACATACTATGAAGTAGTACCGAAAGAACACTGGTCCTATCCTGATTGGATAGACCAAGAACGGTTCCTACGCTATGGGACAATTTTAAAAAATTCATCAATGCTAACCCCCAATATATCTCGGAAGATAGCTTCAGACAATTCCTCACTAACGATGATGGGGAAACTTATAATGGCTGTCATTTCTGGACAAGTTTCGAAATCGCCTCCCTCAAATTCTTTAGATCTCAAGCATATGGACAGATTTCTTTGAATTTTTGGGTCATAACGGAGGCTTCTTCTACGAACGATGGGGCGACGCTCCAGTGCACAATATCGCCGCTAGTTTATTCTTGCCTAAAGAGAGAATTCATTTCTTTGATGATCTTGGCTACTGTCACAAGCCCTACAATTCGTGCCGTTCAGAAATGCAGTTTAGAGTGGACCCTAAATGTGCTTGTGATCCAGGAATGGAAGCTGGTGTTCCAAAAGAATGTGGAATAAAGTACTACGATGCTATGGGGATTCCAAACCCTTGGCCAGATAAGAAAATGCAGGAAAAAGAGAAACAAGAGAAAATGAAGGAAGAAGAAAAATAAAAATAAAAAGAAGCCGGGAAACTGACCTAGGGAGAACAAGACAATAAGGTAGATATAGTAGAATGGAATCTAAAGGAGAGTTGTGTGCAACACTAAGCGACCGGAAATTGATGTATTAAAACTCTATATTGATTAGATTATTTAATAATCTTCCAACAGGTGAATGCAAGGGTTGGAGGAAGGATTTGTAATATCCATTTGTCTTTTATTAAGCTGTGTCTTACATGGGTCACAAATCAATTCTAGTAAACTTTGAAATACGTTGAGGAGCATTGCAATTAAATTGAATTGCTGAGAAAGTCGGGTAACAGCTATAGGGTAAAATGTCGTCTAATGCATATTAAGAGAGACTATCCCCCAATGACGACCCGGGAGAGATAACAACAAAAAGCAAAGGAGAGCTTTTTAATTTTGAGATACATCTCAATAGAGTTAACTAAGGGAAATGAAAAGCCCATTTCCTTTAACATATTCTTATTTTCCCGAAAGAACAGTCTTCAATCATCCTAGGGAATACAGCTAAACAGAGACATTGCATTTAAGACATTTTTCATTTTAAAATTTTCAATTCTCATTCACCAGAAAAAATAAAAATATCAAATCAATCAAAGGAGAAATTCTTTCCTACTTCATTTCATACACTCAATTGTAAACAAAAGCATCAATCGGATTAGCTATGACAAGGAATACTACACGCAACGACGTTACGGAACCAATAATGGACGGCGAAGGAGAGGAGATTGATGTCAAGCAAGATGACTTTGAAGATGATGCAATCAATGATGATTACGTTGATGAAGATATCGACGAGGACGAAGAAGAAGATCAACCAGATGTGGAGGAAGAAGAAGACGAAGAAGAAATAGTTGCTAGAAAGACAAGAAAGAGAAAGGCGTCAACTCGTGATCTTGCCGAACAACTAGAGGATAACAATCTGGAAATCAACGAGACTCAAGATGGAGAAGAAGCCCCACAAGAAACAGCTGATATTAAAGAGGAAGACGAAGAAGACGAAGAAGAGGAAGGCGAAGAAGGCGAAGAGGATGAAGGTGATCATGGAGATAAACCAGGACCAAAGAAGCGTGGACGTAAAAGGACAAAATTCTTGGTATTGGAAGAAGGTGTTTTTGATGAGGATGGGAATCCAATAAGTATAGTTAATGATGAAGTAGTAATTCCTCATGAAGATCCTAAAGGCAAGGAGAAAATTGATGAATTGGGATATTTGAAAGATGGTAGAGAATTTAAAATGAAAACTTTTAAATTATTAGGACAAGGAGATAGATTATATATGATTTCTACTGAACCAGCAAGATTAGTAGGATTTCGTGATTCATATTTATTATTTAAAACACACTTAACTTTATTTAAGAAAGTTTGTACTCATGAAGAAAAAATGGATTTAATTCAACGTGGTTTAATTCCAAATTCATATAAAGGTAGATCAGTTAATTTAGTAACAGCAAGATCTATTTTTAGGGAATTTGGTTCAAGAATGATTAAAGGAGGTAAAAAAGTTATTGATGATTTTTGGGAACAAAGAGCTTTAGACAATGGTGATATTCCTGGAGAATTGGCCGATCCTGTTGAAATTTTCCCTAATCAAAGTAAATTAAGTAGTATATTTGGTGAGGGTGTTGCTAGTGGTAGTGGAGGAGGTGGGAGTCCATTAACTGCAACTCCTATAGTAAATTATCAAACAGATGTCACGTGGATGCATCAAATAGCAAAGAAAACACAAGAATATAACACCAAATTACTGGAAGCTAGAGGACAAACCTTGACTAGAGGAATTAGAGATATGTATAGCAATCTGACATTCTATCCTGAATCTACTCAACCTCAAAAAACGATAAAGATTTCCAAATTAGAAAATGATTCTAACAAATTAGTATATGATATTAAAATGAATGTTGCAGATTTAAGGCGACCAATTACCGGATTAGCAAAAGTCCCACCAGAGATATTTGAAGATATTGAAGATGAAGAAATCAAGCGAGCCATATTTGCTCAACAGGCATACGAAAAGAGTTTATAACATCACTGTAACATATGATAAATAATGTAATATAGACAAATGAAAATGTAAAATTATTGTAAGATTATACGATTTGTATTCAAACTAGAAACAAAAAAATATACTAAATATAAATAATAATTCACAGAACACACCGCCAACTACCCTAAGCAGTAATACTACTTTCTTGGTCTTGGTCTTGGTCTTGTTCTTGTTCTTGTTCTTGTTCTTGCTCTTGCTCTTGCTCTTGTTCTTGGTCTTGGTCATCCATCTCCATATCAGAGTCCATTTCACTATTTGTTTCGATATCATCATCATTATCACCACATTTTGATTTTCTTCTTTTTTCCATGTGAGCTCTTAATTCAAAATCAACTTTAGTTTTCCGTCTTCCAACATGTACAGTAATATCACCTTCTTCAACCACTTCTGCATGTTTTTTTGAATATGCAACTTCAGCTTTAGCTTCTTTACCAGAAATCTTATGATTAACTCTAATATGTTTGGCTAAAGTATCATGACGAGTGAAAATTCTTGGACCAATTGAAGGATTTTGTTTAACACATACATAACATTTAAATAATTTTTTCTTTTTTGAATGAACTGTTTCTTGATGTCTTATTAATTCATATTTTCTAGAGAAACGTCTTAAACATAATTTATGGGGTTCTTCAGGAGAAGGTAATTGACATTCATGAATGACATCTGGATCATAATTAGTTGATTTGACTGCTGATCCATATGGAGCTGTATTTATGGCACAATTATTGGGGATAACTTGACCTCCCTTTTTAATAATCCTATGACCAGCAGGTTTATTATCTCCTTTAAGTCTTTTTCGTTGTTTTGTAGTCAATCTTGTTGTTGTTGTTTCCAGATCGGAATCATTTTCATCTTGATCTTCACCTTCACCACCATGTCTTTTCTTTGATTTCAGCTGTAAATATAATTTCTTTTGATGACGTTTTGATTTTAATTTTGAATTTAATGAAGATCTTGGTTGTGGATCAGGTTGTTGTAATCTTGAATAATTAAACTTATGATATTCATTTATGAATTTTAAATAACAATCATTTAAATCAAATTGAATTAAATTCAAAAAATGATAAATAATTGGTTTCCAATTTAATAAATTATAAATTTCCCAATAATTTAAATTCATTAATACAGAAGTTAAAAATCGAATTGTTTTAGTTGAAATTTCCATAAATTTTGAACCATCAGTTGAAATTTGAATAAAGACATCAAAATTACGTTCAATTATTAAATATAGTCTTGAATTGATTGGATCGTCATAATTAATGAATTTATATAATTCATCCATTAAATGGAAAAATTTGGATTGTAAAATTGAATATTGTTCTTTAGTTAATAAATCACAATCATAAAGTAAAATATTAGCAATTTTATTTAAATGATTGGAATATTCATCAATATTCAACGGATTTGCTGAACTTAAAATCTTGATTTGTTGATCCAATGAAAATAGCTTCTCTTTTGAAGGTGAAGAAGATGATGATGAATTGATGTCAGTAATTGTAGTAGCAGCTGTAGTGGCAGTACCAAATGTTACAGATGTGAGTGCGGTTGCTGATGATGAAGGGGGCAGATGGGTAACTTCGTTGTTATCTACAACAACACCAGTAGTTGTGCTGGCAACATATGAACTATCTGGTGATGTATTATGTGGATCTGGGTTATTATTGGATGTATTGGGGGGTTGATTTGGTTGTTGTTGTTGTGGTGGTGACAATTGTTGCAATTGATTTTCAGTTGCATTCGCGGAATTTGGTGAAGCGGAAGTATTAAAAGGAGATTGTCGATTATCAATCCTTTGAGAAGGAAGGGAAGGAACAACCATTGTGGGAGGAGGTGGTTGTTGCTGCAGTTGTTGTTGTTGTGATGTATGGGATTGTATATCTCCTATGTTGAGAAGTGCGGATTGTTGTTGAAGAGAAGGTTGTTCCACATGGCCCTGAGATTGTTTGGTCAGCAAATTCTGTTGTTGTGGTGGGAATGGCGGAGGGGGTGTAGTTCTTTGAGTTAACAAAGATACTTCTGCTGCTCGTTCCACTTTTATTGATGGTGAATCTAACGGTTGATGAGGAGACATAGTAGGACCTGTCTCTGTATAAGTACTATTCATCTTATTACTCTGTAATGAATGAATGAATGAATGAATAACTAAATTAAATTAAAATGTTATTCCACTTCTACTTTTTTTTTTTTAAAAGGAAAAAATTTAGCAATTTTTTTTTTTTGGGTTAAATTTTTTACACCTTCAACTTTTTTTTACTTTCTTTCGTATTGAATTGACGACATTTAATGATTGCAAAAAGTTTTTTCATTATAAATAAATAATTAATAATAAATTACTCCTATAAATACAGCACAACCCACTTTACAATTATGTTAAAACTATTTTAAGAGAATATCCTTTACTAGACATATTATATTTAATTTCCATTTGACAAATGGAGAGAATCCTCCACTATTAAATCTAGTTTACTATTTCATTAATCAGATAATTACATAATTTCAAATCTATCATTTTATGTTGCAATGTAAAGATTTCAAATTATGTCGTCATTATATTTTATAAAAATACAAAAATAAATAATTGTATGATTCTTAAATTACTATTATCTTTTCTTTGGTGGGTGGGCTATTGGATATTTGTTTTGTCTTGCTGATATGGTTAAACTTGGTTAAACACGGTTTATAAAAAGGGGGGGGGATTCCTCTAAGCCTTCCAATATTTATATGCTTCTAATGATCTGGAACAAAGGATTAAGTTTTTCCAGTGAGTTAATTCCAACCAAAAGTGCGAAACTTTTAAGGCTGCAAAATTTTTACAATCGATTCTAGATGTTTCAAAATAAATACATTTTATTCAATGGATCTTTCAAAGAATAGACAAGAAGTTAGAAATTTGGCGGCTGTCTCTTTTATTATCTCTGAGTCATCCCTACTCAATTTAAAAATTCTCTACCTCGTACACCTTCCTAATGCAAAATTCTCCGAAGGTGAACCTACATTTATTACATTCCAATAATTACCCTACAATCCAAAATATTCCTTTTCGTTCCTTGGGTCATATTTGACGCTTAAAGATCCCAATATATCTATATCTACAATTCATCCATGTTCTTAAATCCCGTTGGCTCCAAGTCTTTTCTAATATTTTTTGTTCTATGGTACACGACCAAATCTGTTACCCGGATTACCTCTCGAATTTGCAACCATTTCGCCACCATGTTTTTTTTTTCCGCTGCAAGAGCCATTGCGTAATAAATCAAACTTAACATACAATTAGATACACAAATATAAATAGAAATGTAAAAAGACATGAAATGTATAAATATATATATAAAACAACCCGAAATCGTTTCAATTATTGGTAGCACCATCAGCATTCAAATATGCAATATCCATTGCATGATGAATTCCACCAGGATTTCTGGGCTTATTGCCAGAAGTAAAACTCTCCAACTCTTTAATCAGAGGAAGTTTCACCGATTGCTTTTGTGTGGGCGACTGTTGTTGTTGTTGTTGCTGTTGCTGTTGTTGGGGATTCATATGTGAACTGGATTGCACACCAGGAGGGTAGTGAATCCCAGGAAGTGGTCCTCCTTGCATTGAGGAATACATTGGTTGATTGGATGAAGAACCAACGTTTCCGTGTAAACTAGTCTGTATTGATGGTAATATATTATGCGGCTGCTGTGGATGCTGTTGCTGATGCTGTTGTGGTTGTTGCTGCTGTTGATGCTGTTGTGGTTGTTGCTGTTGCTGTGGTTGTTGCTGTTGTTGCTGTTGCTGGTATTGTCGATGTTGTTCTATTTGTAAATCACTCATTGGTTCCAATACTCCGGAATCTTTATTAAACAGCAAAAACCCACTATAATTCCCTTTCGCATTACTTACAAACAGAGGTTGAGGAGGAACATTTGTACCCTCACTATATCCAGTTCTACCACTTTCAGTCGAATCATCTTCAAGCGGAGATTCAGGACCATCACTAATAACTTCCACATTTTCTTTGGCATAATTCACAGCCATCTTATTTTCCTTCCCTGTAACTCCATGTTTTCTTCTAATATGTCTAGCTAATGAATCATGACGAGGATAACTCTGAACCTTGGCCCCATTTCTAGAACAATAAACACATTTATATATTTTCTTTTTGGTTGCATGAACAAATTCTTGATGTCTTAATAATTCATTCTTACCATAAAATATTTTAAGACATTTACCTAATGTAATTGGATCAGTTAAATGACATTGATGTATCACTCTTGATTTGGACTTCTTGCCCTTTTCATCTATAATCATGGAAGAATCAGATATATCCCCTTGCAGTTGATGTTGTTGTCTTACGTGAAGCATTGAAGATGTATCAAATGAATTTTCTGGAGATGATGAAGCTCCTAATCCTGGAGACGCATCAATAGTTGATGATTCAGTACCAAGTGGGTGATTACTACTATTTCCAGTCTGGGTTCTATTAGGTGATTGTGGGACAAACTTCAATTGATTATGAAATGGGAACATCGGTGGCTGTTGTTCTTGTTGTTGTTGTTGTTGTGGAGCACCAGTTAGGTTAGCTATCGAAGGCAATCCACCTTCGTTTCCTTGTTGATATTGCTGAGGTAACATGATTGGTTGAAGAGAAGGCAATTGTTGTGGTTGGGGGTAAGAAGGTTGAGCATTACTCTGAAGATGACGGTCCATTGTTTGTTGTTCTTGCATTCCTTCTTGATGTTGCTGAGGATTTGTTTGTTGTGGCGGTAGTGGCTGCTGTGCTGGATGCTGTTGTTGATATGGATGCATTTGGTACTGATAGTATTGATAGTGTTCGGGTGGGATTACCTGCATCATAGGATACATTGGTGGAACATTGTGCATAGGACCAGGTGGAGCAAATGTAGGTTGTGGTTGATCTTGTTGAGGTGGTAAGCTTGGAAGTGGGAGTTGTTGGACAGAAGTGGGCGAAATCTCATAAGTTTCCGGTTCTGGTTTCGAAGACACAGTATCAATTGTGGGAGTAGGTTCCGCTTCGGGTTCTTCCTTGACAGACACAGTCGCCTCTCTACTGCTGATGTCATCAGGGCTAGTGCCATGAATACTGAAATCTTGTTGAAGGCCCGGTGTTGCCAGTTTAGATTCAATTTCTGTTGTTTCATCTCTAAGCTCTTCTGTCATTGGTTTGACTTTTGGTTTCCTTCCACGTTTTTTCTTTAATGGTGGTTCTTGGTCTTCTGATTTCAATGATATATCTAAATAGGAAGAAATTCTTACTCTCTTCAATTTATCTTCATCTGCTTTTGAATTGAAAGAATGATAGGAATAATTATAAAATGGATAAGGGAAAGGATATTGCAATCCCAGTAACATATCGTCACACAAATAAGTTGTTGGAGGTTTAATAAGTGGACCAAAAGATGTATTTATGATTTCAAAATCAATCAATTTCAAGATATATGTGAATTTGGGTATCATATAAACCAAATGAACTACTTCCCAATATTGTAAATTATAGATTAATTCCACCAAGAATTTAGTTATATGAGATGCTAATGAAAGATTAAAATAACTTGAACAAAATTCAATTAAATAATCGTAATTATCAATTATTATTCTGCAAAGCGAATTATTTGGAAATAAGAACATATTACTCACTTGAATTGGTCTGAGTAAATTTTGTTTTCGTTGTTGTTGTTTCTTAGACAATGGTTGTTGGGGAGAGGTAGGATCTCCACTATCAAGTCCACCTGTTTCATAATACAGAGCTCTATGATTCGGCAAATAAGATGACATATCAAATAACGAACTTTCAATAGATATTCTAATATTATCATCGAGATTGGTTTCTTTAAGTAATAAGTATAATAATTCTTGCAATCTTGCTGAATAGGTTAATATTTCATTTTCAATCGATTCATCAATTGGCTGTGATCTATGGAGGACAAGAGTTGGTTTTTGAGGACGTAACTTCATGAGCTCTTTGACTATAGGATCTTCGTTGTCGACAGTAACTTCAAGATTATCATAATACGGCAATGATCTTGGAATTTGTTGTTTAATCTTCTTTATAAGGGCTAAAACAAAGTTAGTAAAATAATTCCTTTTTTGTAATTTCTATTCCTATAGGTGGTACATACCATCTGGACGAAAGTCTTCCCCCAAATCGGTTGGATTCTAAATATAATTTGGTTAGTTGAGTCATTTAATTTGTAATTTTTGCATTTTTTTACCGCACACAATTTGATAATAACAAAACGTGAATTCCTATCAACAAAACAGTATGTGCAAAAAAAAACAATGTAATCTTAGTAAACGTACTTGTGACATAGGAGAGGTATGACTCTCACTATCCATTATGCAATATCTATTTATATCTATTTGATTTATGGTTAGTTGGCTGGGTTTAATCCATCAATCGTAAAAAAAGGGTAATTAAATTTAATAAATGAATGAGAAAATTGGGAAAACGGAAAAAAAAAATGTGCAACAATTTAATAAAAATTGGATCCAAAGTACACGACTTCCTTAGTAGCCACCCAGTAGTTAAACATAATGCGACCAAAAATGTCGCATTCTTATCATTCTTTAATTCAATTATTTTTAACAACATGGATTTGTTGTCATGACCAATTGTTTGCAAGTAAATCATTTATTATACTTTAGTGAATAGTTTGTATATGAAGTTAGTCCAAAGATAAATATAGCAACAAACTCTTCAACATAATACTTATCCCAGAGATAATTTAGAAATAATCTATGGATCTCAATTTTATGTAAGATTTCTGTCCCCCCCTTTTTTTGGTTGCAAAATTTACTAGTATTTCCACGGTAAATTCACTTACCCAAAAAAAGATTACAAAATATTTCCCAAAAATGTTGCAAAGTTTATGTAATAAATAAATACTTAAAATACAATAAAATTGTCTCTATATACTATTTACTATTGCTTTCAAACAAATGTTGAACTTCCCATAGAAGCATGTCTTTCTCCAGATGTGAGAGTTGTTGGACTTACGGCCCTTAAGGATTCTTGTTTGATATATGAAAGGTCTGTGCCATTCATTTGTTTAAATGCCTTGGTTTTTAGATACGATTGATTTGAGGAAATTTCATCAATTTCCAGTTCTGTTACTTCGCCATTACTATTATTAACAATTATATCTTCAATTAATTGTTCATTTTCTTTCGATTGATTAAAAAATCTGGCAGTTACTTCATCAGTATTTTCACCTAAATAATGTAATACTTGTTTAAACACCAAATCATAAACATCATTTCCCCATAAGTTATCTAAATGTTCATGATCGGGGACAGGATGAGTTGTGGTTGCTCTATCAGGAAGTTGTTCTTTCATGACATTAATATCAACCAAAGAATCAGTAGTTCCATAAATTAAATGAATTGGTATATCAATGTTCTTTAAAGGATAACTAATTGGATGGAAACCAGTTAATTTAGAATTAGTATCATGATACATTTGGAAATTTTTCGATGACATTACTTGAAACCAATGAACCGAACATGTAGCACTTGTTGGTGAATATAAATGAGCATAACTACTCATTTTTTGTAATTTAGTAATATTTTCTGCTTTCCAATTAAATAAGAAATAATTGGCAATATCAATCATATTATCAAACAATGGAGGATACATTATCTTTTGCCAAAATATACATGATGGCATAAGTGCACGACGTCCAAATAATAAATAGGTCACATTTGGTGAAGTCTTTAAGAAAATATCCAAAAATTTAGAATATAACCCATGTGGAGTAGTTGCTGGGGAAATTGCAATTAATTGTTCTATTTTGCCAGCCAAATCAGCATTAATAGATACACTAGCAAATGCTTGCGCAGTACCTTGACTAAAACCAATATATGTTAATTTCGGAGCTTTTGTAACTTCTAAAATATAATCTATAGTATCAGGAATATCAAATAATGCAAATTCATCTAATGAAAAATCCCAAAATTCATTTGAATTTATATTAGCAAATACATGTTTTTGACTATATTTACTACCTCTATTATTACCTAACCAAACATCATAACCTAATTCATATAACAAATAAGGTAAATTTTTATATTTATCAATCATTGTTACCCAAATTTCACTACACATTAATAAACCATGATGTAAATAAATTACTTTACCATTTGGTATACGTTGTTGTCTATCTGATTTCCCCTTTAATCTTTGTACTGTTAATAAATAATTATCTTTAGTTTTAACAATTCTACTTTCAATTGTATAACCAAATAAATTAACCATTTGTTCAATATTTTCAGCATTTAACAATTCAATCATTAAATCATATTTTCTTTTAGTAATATTACCTAAATTTGGATTAATATACAGATATTTATATTCCTGTTCTTCTTCTTCTTTATCTATTGTATTTATTCGTTTATGTTTTGTAATTAAATTTATTGGATTTGATGTAAACCTATAAATTAATTTTGTTGTAAATGTAAACAAATCAATTATACTTGGTGGTAATAATAATGTTATCATAGATATAATAAATTCAATCCAGGCCAACATAAACGATATGACTATAAATGGCCAATCTAATAAATGTAATCTTCCTAATAATGGTATATACATTGTAAGCTAATAGTTTTTCACTTTCTATATTCAGTTAATGGAATAAGGATTTATATATAACAATTCAATAAAATTATAAATTAAGAATCAGTTTATACTTGTTTCCCTTTAATTGTAAATTGCTATGTGATAATTTTCATGTTGGTTGCTTTTTTTGTGTTAATTGTGTGATACTGAAAATCAGTTGATGAAATTTAAGATTTACTGCGCCTAAAAAAATTTGAGAAATTCACATGGGAACGAATTGTGGGTGGAATATTACATGTTTAAACAAGTGAGTAGATACACATTGTTACCCAATAGCAAACATAAATAACAATGCACAGAGAGCAATCAACCCTCTATCAAATACCCAAGAACCCTTGATTGAAACCAGGGTTAGGAAACGAATCGGGTATTTTTCCGGGTATATTCATTCAACCCGAATAAATCGAATTTGGGATTAGGGAATACTCGTTCCGAATAAATAGGAGACGCTGGATGGGTGAATCGGGTGAATTGGGTGCCGTGAAGGTCGATTCGAAAAATTCGTGTTTCAAAATGTATGTAGTTTGCAACAAATACTAAGCAAAATTTTCTCTGTCTACTGAAAACAAATCAGAAAAACAAGCTTCTAAGCCAATTTTTAATAAATCTGCTTGGACGATTTGCAATTTAAAACGCGTTAGAAACACGCGTATTTAGTATTTTTTGCGTGATTTTCATTTTTTTTTTTTTACAAAAACGGTTCAACCTCTATTTTAAATAACTATATAAAATTGTTGGGTTCTAACAACAAACTATAAATAAAATTGGAAGAGTTAGAAGATTCTTACTTCAGAGAAAGTGAAGATTGAGTATATAAGTATTTAAAGTTAATGAAGTAAACTAGTTCTAAGTTAATACTTTTATCTATAAATCATTAAATTTTTGTGCCACGTAATAGCCAAATTCGTTCGGGTATTTCGAGTTTTTCGAATACGAATCGAATTTGACTGGCTAGCTACTTCGAATGAATCGAATCTTCCAGCAAAACGTAAAAGTGAATACAAAAAGCGCGAAATTCGGAAAATTCGATTCGTTTCCTAACCCTGATTGAAACCAACTACAATGTTCTCACCTATAAAATGTCTAAGTTATCAGGAAAAACCAAGACACTCGCTCGGCCTTTCCTAATTAGGAATCCTCCCTCGATCGCCAAGATCTCGTTCTGGTTTTTTTTCCATTGCAAAAATAATTTTTTAATATAAAATGTACGGAAGAATTCCAGTAACTTTTGCTGAATACCCTGCCAAACCACAGGGAATGTCTACTATGAAGGATAATTATTCTATCAATTCAATTCAACGTCGACGTAAACGAATCAATTCGATTATTTGTTATTAAAGATAGCACTTCCATTCCCGTATTCGTCGTATTGTGGATTTAAATCCATGATATAATGGGCAGACTGCCGACATTATATATAACAGATGTAGCCTTCAATCACAGCACGCAGAAGCAGAAAGAGTTTGAAATACGAAGCAGTCCTGTTGATATTGGAAACTTGCATATTAACGCTAATGTAGCTTCGTATCACAAAAAAGCTCGGTTTTATTCTTCCAGGTGAGAGGAGCATGAAATATAGATTATTGAAAGATTTGCCATTCGAAACGAGCCTATTGACAGATATTCCGCAACGTTCTGCAGAATGTCAATTCGGCGTATGGACATTCTCTTCTTGTTCAACGAAACTATTTTGAATGCAATTGGCTACCCAAACCTTGGGTTGTCAAACCCCAATGGGCACCCCAATGGGGACTTGAACAAAGAATCGGTAAATGCTCATGAAATTAGTTAAATAGCAATATTTCGGATGAACTCCCCCCTACCTCCAAGGTATTGAGAGTGGATGTGTTTCTGTGATTAGAAATCATTCATTTGATTGGCTGCAAAAAAAACAAGTTGGCTAACATTCGGAATTACACAAAGAAAGTATAAACGAATGAAACAGCGAATAATAGAAGACACAATAAATATCAATGAGGTTCATTATCTACTAATAGAACAATAGAAGCTTATTTATTACTGATGGAACATTTGATCCAATCAGATTAATCAGTTAAAAAATAATCTTGTCAAATGTATGTAACCCGTCATTATATGCAAGGGGAAGTTGTCACTAAAAAATATTTGCACCCACAACCCAAGACAATTAACCATTGTACTTATACTTTGGGTTTTTCTTTATTTCTGCTTTTTTGTAAACTGTTTCTATTGTTTCTTGTAAGCTTAATTGTCCTGATGACAAATTTATTGACGAGTCCAGCTTCATGGCTTTTTTGTATAAATAGTATGAAAGGCGCTGTTTTGGATACAGTTTTTGCTTGTCACAAATCATAACTCAAACATGATCTCCAAATTAGTTTTATCAGCTTTTGCTCTCTCAGCCGTTGCTACTGCAGCAGGCGCTCCAGTTTCCACTGATTCTCCAAAAGATACCTTATTCATTGCCAAATTCAATCAAGAAAATACCAATATTGAAGGTGAAATTACTTTCCAATCAGATAATGGATCAGTATTGGTTAAAGTTGATTTAGAAGAGTTACCAAAAGTTGGTGGACCATTCCCTTACCATATTCATCAATTCCCAGTCCCATCGGATGGAAACTGTACTGGTACTGGCGGTCATTTGAATCCATTCAATGGAACGACTAATGCAACTACTTCTGCCGGTAAAGAAGTTGGTGATTTAGCTGGTAAGCATGGAAATATCACTTCCAACCCATTTACCGCTCAATATCTTGATGATTATATTTCATTGAATCCAAAGAATCCAGCTTTCATTGGTGGGTTATCTGTGGTTATTCATGATCGTGACAACAAAAGATTGGCCTGTGCTAACATTACTGCAGTTAACGACAATCAACAAAATGTAACGTCTTCTGTTCTCCCAGGTGCTGCAAACTTAGTTTCTACCAATGGTTTAGTGATGGGTGCCGCTGTTGGTGTTGCCGCTTTGTTGATCTAAGTCCTACTGGATTAGCCAGTTAATAGAGACGCCTTATTTTGTTAATACACGTGATTCATAGTATTATTGTTACTTAATCGAGGTTATACTCTAATTTTACAATTCTAGGATTTTACAATCTTTTATGTTGTTTTCTGCTTATTAATTTAGTGCACAGCTGTGCCAAGTTTCTTCATTTTGTTTAATTCATCAGTTCTGGGTCTTTAATTCATTAACTCTTAAGCCATAGGTTTTTACTTCTTACAGACACCCAGGAAGCCAGACATACGGAGATAGATATATTTTGTGATCCGTAATTTCCTTTTTAGATTGAATTAGTCAGATATTTTTCATACTTTTTTTCTTGTCAACGGTATCGATTATACACTAAAATTGGAAATTAAAAAATAACTGTTACTGATCCTCTGATACATATAGGACATGACGTTATGTAGAAATGGTGAAAACCCTAGATTCTAGACCAGCAGAGACTGGGTTATATAAGAACTAAAAGCCATTGGTACGAGGTGGGTGGGGGTGGGGGTTTGGTGGGGGGATGCGAATGGATGAGGCTAGGCCTTGGAAAGCGCTAGGTGGAGATGAATTTGCGATGGTGTTGTTGTATGAAAGTTCGTGGGGGACCCATTATCATGAATATAAACGAATCATCAAGAAACAGAATTATTGAGTAGATCAAAAGAAATTTATACGCGGGGCACCGTATTTAAGTTATAACTTCTATATTTGGCAACAAGTCTATATATAGTTTTGTAATCATAAAAAATATTTCAAAAAAACTGTCACTAAAAAATATTTGCATCCGCAGCACAATTTTAGTCATTGTAATTACTTATTCTTTGGGGTTTTCTTTATTTTGGATATGTCTTTAAACGGTTTATATTGTTTCTAGGAAACTTTAGTGACTTGATGGCAAATTTATTAATGAGCCCTGTATGATGACAAAGCTATTTATGAGCCCAACTTGATGACGTATTGGACGAGCCGAGCTTTGTTGTTTTTGTATAAATAGTAGCCAAAAGGAAGACACTTTCTTGAATAGCGTTTTTTGCTTATCACAAACCATAACCCAAACATGATCTCCAAATTAATTTTATCAGCTTTAGCTCTCTCAGCCGTTGCAACTGCAGCAGACGCGCCAGTTTCCACCGACTCACCAACCAATGTCGAATACGTTGCTCAATTCGATCAACTAAATACCAACATTACCGGTGAAGTTACTTTCCAATCAAATAACGGAACAGTGATGGTTAAAGTTGATTTCGAAGAATTACCAAAAACTGGTGGGCCATTCCCTTACCATATCCATCAATTCCCGGTCCCCTCAGATGGAAACTGTACTGGTACAGGTGGCCATTTAAACCCATACAATGGTACCCTTAATGCCACTACTTCTGCTGCCAAACAAGTTGGTGATTTAGCTGGTAAGCATGGAAATCTCACTTCAAGTCCATTTATGGCTGAATATTTTGATGATTACCTTTCATTAAATCCAAAGAATCCAGCTTATATTGGTGGGTTATCCGTTGTTATTCATGATCGTAACGACAACAGATTGGCCTGTGCTAACATTACTACTGTTAAAAACTTTCAACAAAATACATCATCATCGTCTACTATGCCAAGTGCTGCTAACTTAGTTTCTACCAGTGGCTTGGTATTGGGTGCTGCTGCTGGTGTTGCAGCCTTGTTGATTTAAGTTCGCCTAGAGAATTTTCTTAATAGAGACACGTTGTTAAATGTATCGTAGTGTTTACCCTCTTAGTTATGTTCGAAATAGTTAGAAATATCAGTTGTTAGTAAAATAGTGTCGTATAGTTTTAATGTATTATTCAGTCCCATAATAACTTATCTTGACAAAAGGTCGAACATATTTAATCTAAAGAGAATCCTTTCTCTTTGTAAGTCAACTCGTGTTAAAAGAAGTAGCAAGTAGTTTTCTGACACCAGCTATAGCTTTCGCAACAATCTGCGCGGAATTTCAGCTATATCATAGTAACTATCTATATACCATATAATCAATCAAGCAATGACTACCAAGCATCAGTATAGTGTTTGCAAACTGAAGTCTAGATTCAAGTCATCAAACTCCTTATTACAAGTTGAACATTTTTTGTGGTGATGACAATAATGACAGGATTGTGGGTGATCCAATTTACATACTGAATACCCAATGTATCCAGCACTTAAAGCTCCGAAAGTGGTTAAGATAGGATTCATGTTTTTTAAACTGTTTTAGCTAATGATTGAAAAGAAAACTTGTAGAAAGTATTAAATTGGGGTTGAAATTTCAACTGGAATGTCTGGAGATTAAATAGTTGCAAGGATAAAAATTCGTGACATTAATTTAACCCTCTTCGTAAAGAAAATTAAATTAGTCCCATTAGATGAAGCCATCATATTCAGTATAGGATACATATGATATGCTACCAACAAGTAATTCTTTGAAGAAATTCTGAAGATAATGGTTACAAGTCAACAGCAAGCTAGCTGGGTAAGAGCATATACATTGAAAACTAGAAATATCATCGAGAAAGAATCGGAAGAGAATTAAAAAGTAGACATTTTTTTGGGCCACTAGTTTGGTACAGGATCTGTTCTGAATGATTCTTTTCAAAGACAATGGCTTCTCAATCAATCCTCATATGGTTTTTATTATGCTCATACTTACCAAAGTAGAATTGAGTTGATATTTATTGTTCCATGGGAAATGAACTTCGAGTAATACAATCAAAGGGATCAAGACGGCTGCAAAAAAATAAAAATAAAAAGAAAGGGGTAAGGAAAAAATGAAAAAAATTCCCCTCCCACCAAATTTACACAAACAAGGAGAAGAAGAGGAAGAGGTCCCGTTACTGCCGACCAATAATCACAGTTTTAAAAGAACATTACATGTTTGAATTAGCTATATACACTGCTTGTATGTTCAACTATTTACAAAAGGGTTTGTTGACTGAATACAACTTATCAGTCTAGTAGTCCCATTCATCTTTTGAAGGGCGATCTCTATTTTCATTTCTCTTCCATTTTTCATAATCATTATATTGTTGAGAATCATGTTCATGATAATTGGACCTTCGGTTATGATTCCATCTGTTGCGACAGCGTGAGCAACTTGAACATGTACAACCACAGGGGTGATTACGATGATATATTGCGTGACCTAAATATACCGCACCTACAATAAATACAAATTTACCAATACCCATTCCAAGACCTCTTTGATATCTCATATGATGATGTGAATGCATTTGGCGAAAAATGATAAATGAATATCAAATGAGTAAAAAGAATTGAAAACTTTTCAGAATAAAAGAAGTCGGTAGTTGCATTTGATTTTATATGGGCAATTGTATTTTGCCGTTATTCAAATTTTTTTTAAGCCATTTTGCCACCAAACCACATTCATTATACTCTGACCAATTGGGGAAACAACAATTACTATTCTATTTCTAAAGCTAAGTAATTTATATAGATAAATATATATACAAGAGAAGAAGACAACGAAGTCTATTCTAACAAATCAATTTCTAATATCAACATTAAATCTTGAAACTAAATCATTCTCTACTTTTCCATGAACTTCATTAATCTCACCATTGGTTAAATTTCTATCCATTGATTGATAATTAACACGATAACATTGTGATTGTTTACCAGTCTTTGGATGGACGAATTCATCAACTAATGAGACACTTTCTGCCCAATCACCAGCATGAGTTCTAACAATTTCCATAACATCATTGGTATGAAGTTTTGAATCTTCACCCAACCAGAATGAAACATCTCTTTTAATACCAGGATATTTAGAATATGGAGCAAATGTATTAATTTCACCTTGTTTGAATTGATTATGGAATCTTTCATCTAATGTCCAGAATAATCGAATATCTGGAATATCAAATAAAAGCATGGCAATTCTATCTAAACCAATACCAAATGCCCAACTGATCTTATCATTACCTAATTGAGAATTTAATAACACTTGTTGTTGAACAACACCACATCCACAACATTCTAACCATTCTCCCTTCCACCAAACTTCAATTTCCCATGAAGGGGATGTCCATGGGAAATATGCTTCAACCCATCTTACCTTAAGTGGTTCATTAAGATATGGTTCAGTAGATCCAGCTCTTTTGGCAGATGCTCTTGCAGTTTCAAAAACCTGATTAACTAAATATTCAACGGTTTTCTTCAAATGAGTAGATACAAGACGTACTTCTTCTGGAGTCATATAATCTTGTTTTGGATTATCTGGGGTAATTGGTTGTTCTCTAAATGGATCCTCAACAATAATATTAGTCTTTGGAATTGAATCAATGTCCTTTTGAATAGTTTCTAATAAATTTGGGTCAGATCTTGACCAGACACGAGCACCCTCTAATTGATGGAATGCAGGATAATGGGTTCTATCAACTTCATCTTTACGATATACATCAGCAGTAATTAAATATCCTGGTGTTTTACATTCTTGAAAACATTCATGTTCATGAGCAGACGTATGGGTTCTTAATAAGTGATCCTTATTAAAATAATAAGTATCAGATCTTGATCTACCTGGATGATCTTCTGGGAATCCTAATACATCAAAATTTTGAAATTTAGTTACAATAGGATGGAAATCATCATAAATAGTATAGCCCATTCCTTTGAAATTGGTTTTGATTAAATGATGAAGAATACCTATAGGATGATTTGGATTCTTATGTAATCTTCGTTGTATTAATTCAACAATAAATGGTGGAATATTGGTCCATTCATCTGATTCATATGTTTTACCTTCAACAGTGATTGAGCCTTGGGAAGGTTGTTGGGAAGAGTATGACCTAAATGGTATATACCTAATGCCCCTGGGTATAAGGTGCCTTGGTGTGACTAGTTTTAGCATGTGATGGGAGGGTTGGATGGGATTTACGAGAGAGTAAAGTGAAAAATTTGAAGTTCGGTTGAGAAATAGCGATTTTTTTCTATTGAGATTCTAAATGGGGCTATAAAATAAAGTTGTCTAAAAAATTGTTAGAAGATCTATATCAGAGCTACCAAGCGTCTTCCTTATATCTTCCATTATCTTCCATTTGAAGTATATACCTTTGAGCTTCTTCAATTGTAATTGAATTATATTTCTTTAAGATTTCAGAAAATGTAATCTTAACTTGTTGAGGCATTTTACCACTTGAACCACAAACAAATATCTTTGCATTTTCTTCCAAGATCAATTTTCCTATAAGTTTATACTGATCAAAAAGACCATCTTGAACATACTTATATTTATATCCCTTATCACGAGAAAAGCAATTAAATATATGCAAATTAGGATATTCTGCTTGCCAGAATGATTCTGTCAAATGATCCTTTTCTTGAAATCTACACCCGAAAAAGAGATACAACTCTTGTTCTGTGTTTTCATGTAAAACTTCATCTATAACAGATTTCATGGGTGCGATTCCAGTACCTGGTGCTACCATTATTATCGGTGGCTTGTTCTCCAGATATGAAAAACTTGATTTTTGAATAGAAAATCTAATTTCATCCCCTGGTTGGAGAGATTTCAACCATCTGGTACATAAACCTCGTCTTATTCTTCTTATGATAGTCTTGTATTCCACTATAGCAACTATTATCTCTACTTCCGACGCACTGGGTCTCGAAGCAATCAGGAAAAATCTAGGTTTAATCAAGGGGAATAAATCCAATATATATGCAATTGGAATAACCAAATTATTTTGAAATTCTAAAATGGTCTCAAGAATCAGTCTTCTTGGTCTGTTCGCATAGTCATATAAATCTTCTGGTTCTTCAAAACTTCCGAATTCTTTTAATTTCTCTTGTTCTCTTTGTCCATCTTCGGTTGAGGAATCACAAAAATGCCATAATAACGCAAAGAAACTTCTTCTAGGTATAGACATTATATCCAAATGGTATTTGAGAAGGGTACGTAATGTCAAATTCTTCACAATCCCACCCTCAATATGTGGTGCATTCTTAATTAATAGAGGACGATCAGCAATCTGAGCCCAATGCGGTTGCACTTCCAATAAAGCTTCGACGTCTTGGTCGTGATTGCATGGATACAATGATATTGTATCACCGGGCAAGTATTGTAAATCTTCGGATTTGATTTTGAAATCTCGTACATCTTGGAAATGATCTTGACTGGTTATCCTTTTGTTTTCCACCACGGTACCAATATTAATAGAATCATCCTCAGAAAATTTAACTTGGGAGGCAACGTCACCGTTTGTCTCGATCCCATGATTTGATATCGTGACTTTAAATTGCGGCATAGGAACACTAGCTTCCTCGAGTTTAGTTGTATTTGGGAAGAATTTCAAAAGCGATTGGACAACCTGAGCCTCCCACTCAACGTAAAACCCATCCACTCCCTCAGGAGATACTTCATCAGCTTCTGATCTTGGTGATAATTCTTGACAGCCTAATTGTGTCATACGAGTATGTATTTTCTTAATGGCATAATTGAATTTACTATAAGAAGAATCACCTAATCCAAAAGTTGTTAAATATAAATGTTGGAATAAATCATTAGGTAATTTCCTTTTGAGGATAAATTTCATAAACTTTTTGGCATTTCTTGGTAATTCACCTTGACCTGTTGTTGAACAAATGATAATTAGAAATGCGGTATCGGTGATTAACTTTTTCAATGGGAACTCATCTAATGAAGATAAAGTTGATTTCAATCTATAAGTACCTAAGGTATGTTTCAAATATCTAGCATATTCTTCGGCGTTTCCAGTCTCTGATCCATACAATATGGTGATATCTCCTTGTCCCATATCCAACTCTTTATGTCTACTGTATAGGAAGAGAAAGATGGTTGACTAATCTATTTAGTCTAAACTGTAAATTATTTGAGGGTTTGAAAAATTCTCTAAAATTGCAATTTTCAAATTCAAACTGTAAAATTGAAAAGTTACAGGTTTTATCCAATCTAACACTCATAGAAAAAAAAAATAAACAAAAAATTAAATTCAATCATGTTGCTAAAAAACCCAATCATTTCAACTCCATAAACAATGCCACCAAAGAGAAAAGGATCAAGTGCAACATCAACCCCTAAGAAGGCTAAACCTAACCATCATCATCCATCTCCTGAAGAATACAAGCAATTCTTCCAATCCACTTTAAATCTTGTGTCTGATCTTCGAGATGAAAATGATGAACAACTTGCATTTCCTTTTGTTAAATTACCTTCCAAAAAGCTCTATCCTGATTATTATCAAATAATTGCTCAACCTATTTGTCTTAATGATATCCAGAAACGAATTAGAACAAAATACACGGGGGATTCCACTGATGAATTCTTGGATGATTTCCAATTATTACTTGATAATGCAACAAATTATAATGCTCCTGATTCATGGATTGTGTTGAATGCAACTAAAATATATGAATTTGTTAAAGATCAAGTTCGTGAATTCGAATCTGCTGCTTCAAGTAAAAAAGTTGAACCTCCCAAGTTTAAATTGAAATTCAAGCAACCAGAACCGGTAAAACCAAAAGTTGAACAACCAGAAATTACATTTGGAAAATTACCTGAAATATGTATTGAACTTTTAGAAGATGTAATGAATCATGATTTCCCTGATGATGGGGTTATCAGTGGACCCTTTATTGAGGATGTAGATACTGATTATTATACAGATTATTTAACTTTTGTTGAGAAACCAATGTCATTCAATAAACTTATTTCAATGTTGAAAAGTAAGAAATTGTTTAGTCCCAAGTTCCCACTTTTAGATAATTTAAACAAATTTCATGAAACCGCCAAACTTATATTTTCCAATGCTAGACTTTATAATGATGAATCATCACAAATTCATCAAGATGCAAATAATTTAGAAGAATACTTTGAAGAAAAGTATCAAGAATTGAAAAATAAGATCCCTGGTGGAAATGAAGATACCGCTAAGACGAAAGGTAAACTGAGTAGACCAACATTAAAGATACACTTGGGTAAAGCTGAACCTGCAACTTCTGTACCTGAAACCCCCAAAAAGAAGGGACGTAGAAGAAAAGCAGTAGAAGTAAAAGAAGAGCTCGAAGAACCTGAAAATGAAATCCAAGAAGAAGAATTACCTGTGAAATATGAAACAACCAAACCTCAAGAACCTGAATCAACAATAAGATCGAAACAAGTTGTTACTGAAAAATCCATTGACAATACTATGGGTAAGACATTACCATTATTACCAGCAGAAAGCGCAATAATACAAGAATCGGCCCTTTTCTCGACCGTGGCAATTTCAAACCACATTAGTCAATTTGTTCAACAAAAGGCTATCAGCAGTAGTCTTCTCCCCTTGCCTCGAAATCAAGAAATTAGGAAAGGATTATTCCCAACCCATCCAGGTCATTCAGTAGCTAGTTTGTTTGAGTATAAGGTTCCCGCAAATGGATATACAAATCAATCATATAGTATTACTTTACCAAATGAAATACTGCCATTTGTATCTTTCAAAGTATCATTGCATAATTTTCTTTATAATATAAAAAAGAATGATTTGGTTAATGGACGTGGATACTTAAATCTGACATCAGATGAAGATTTTCAATGTAAACTATTTGTCAATGATGAAGAGGTATCTAATGCTGGTGATTGTTTTGAAGAGAAAAGGGAGGGTAGTGATGAACATGACGATGATGAATTGTTGGGAGTTCAATATGATTTAAAATTAAGTTATGGATTGAATGTTTTGGTATTTGAATGTAAAGTGGCACCAAATATAAGCAAGCAAATCAAGAATACTGTTGTCCAAGAAAATAACGAAGAGATAGCAGGAAGACATACTAGGCATCAATTGCAACAATTGAAAATGTCTTGGGATGTAGAAACAATCACGATGTTTGTCACCTGTAATTGCGCTTAAGAACGTTGTAATGTAAAGTAAATATGTACATGTATTATTTCTATAGAACTTTTTTTTATTTACCAATGCAAAAGTTTGAAAACACGACTCCTAAGATTTCTTCTATTCCTATAGCTTGACCTGTAATTTTGCCTATTCCTTCAACAGATTGTCGTAAACTTTCTGCCGCCAATACTACATCATCTTGATCCTTCCAATGATAAAATTGTTGAAATCCGTATAAGACATCATTTTCCAATAAATCCTGAATTCTAGAAGACACGATAATAGGGTCAGAAGTTTCCGATTGAGTAATAACTTTAAACTCATGAATTAAGGAATTTCGAAGTTCAGAAATCCCCGATCCAGTAGAACATGAAACCACTCTGAAAAGATTTGTAGGTACGTCTAGTTTTTCAGAATATTCTTCAATTAATCTATGTTTAATTCCCGGATAAAGATCTTCTTTGTTTAAAACAATCAACATTGACTTATTGGCTTGTAATAACAAGTGTAAATGATCTTTCAATTCACTTAAATCGGAATGAGCAATTGGATCAATCACAACTACTACAAATTCACAATTTAAGGATTTAGCCTTTGCACGTTTGATTCCTTCTTGTTCAATTTGATCAGCCAAGTTGATCAGACGGATACCTGCAGTATCACCCAATACTACTTTATATCCTCCAATTTCGAGTGGGATGTCTATAACATCACGAGTGGTTCCGGCAATTTCGCTAACGATTGCTGCTTCTTTATTTGCCAAGATATTCAAAATTGAAGATTTCCCAGCATTTGGAGGTCCAAGTAATGCCAATTGGATTCCTCGAAGTAACACTTCTGATGATTTAACTTTTTCAAGATATTGTTTAATTTCAGTTTCAACAATCATTATATGTTGACCAACATCATCTAATAAATGTAAAGTTTCTTCTAAATCTTGATCTTCTCCAAAATCAATTATCGTGGTCAAATTAGCTATATTATTCAAGATATCTTGCCTCCATTTTAAAAATTCACCCTTTGTTTTCCCAGTCATTGAAGCTAATGTTGCGATCCTTTGAGATTCAGTTTCAGCATTTATCATTTCACTTATACCTTCTAATTCTGTTAAATCAAATCTACCATTTAAGAAAGCTTGTCTTGAGAATTCTCCTGGTTCAGCTTGTCTAATGATTACTCCATTATTTGGATCATGTAATTGTTTGATTGCTTCTAACACAGATCTAATGATAGCTATACCTCCATGAAGATGTAATTCTAATAAATCTTGTCCCGTGTATGTTTTAGGTCCAGGTAAATAAATCGTCAAAGCTTCATCTAATAATTGGGTGGTAGTAGATGAAGAATAAAGTTTTCTAACACTTGCAAAACGATTCTTTGGAGGGTTAGTAGATTTTGTAAGTTGATGATAAATATATTGTGATTGAGGACCGGAAATCCTGATGACTGCGATGGCTGATTTTCCTAATTTTGTAGAAAGGGCAAATATTGTTGGCAGGAGGTCATTTTTGGGTTGGATATGTGTCAGAAGGCTTCTGAAATTATACCATTTGGATCCATATCTTGGGGAGACCTGTAGTAGTCGAAATATCATTTGACGCTGTGTTTTGGTTTAATCTCCATAGAATCCCCATAGAGATGAGCTTATTAATGGAGAGAAGAAAAAATATATCAATGGATATTAATCTTTTCCATTTACCACCAATCATGCTCATCTCCACATCCAAACAAATATTAAAGACATACAATAGACAGTTCAGTCAATCCAGCTTCATCAAGCATGAGAATCCATTAGGTCTTCCTCGTGTTGGCAAGGGTCCACCTCCAACAATGCCTCAAAAGGGACTTCCAATACGACAGAAAATCCCCAATGTTGATAAAATAATCTTAGTATCATCTGCCAAGGGAGGAGTTGGTAAATCCACCGTATCTATAAATACCGCATTGGCTTTAAAATCCCTTAATAAAACAGTAGGAATATTAGATGCCGATATTTTTGGTCCATCAATTCCTCGATTATTAAATCTAAAAGGAGAACCAAGAATTTCCGATACTGGGAAATTATTACCATTATCAAATTATGGAATCCAATCAATGTCAATGGGATATTTAGTTTCTGAAGATCTGGCGGTTGTATGGAGGGGATTAATGGTTATGAAAGCATTACAACAATTATTATTTGAAGTTGAATGGGGTCCACCACTTGATTATTTAGTGATTGATATGCCACCTGGAACTGGTGATACGCAATTATCAATTGGACAGTTGTTAAAAGTGGATGGAGCTGTGATTGTTAGTACCCCACAAGATATTGCTTTAATTGATGCCGTGAAGGGGATTAAGATGTTTAATAAGGTGGGGATCCCATTGATTGGAATTGTCCAGAATATGAGTCATTATATATGTCCTAATTGTAAACATGAATCACATATATTTAAATCTGATGGTGCTAGAAGAGTGGCTGATGAACATAATTTAAAGACACTTGCGTCAATTCCATTGGATGAAGAAATTTGTATACAATCAGATGCTGGGAAACCAATTGTTATTTCAAATCCAACATCTCCAAGTGCTCAACCTTATTTTGATATAGCTAAGGCTATTGTTTAAGTAGAACTTGTATATATAGTTTTTGAGTTAGTGTATAATATTGTATGTATAGAATTGCATATGTAAATAATTTTGCTGCAATTTAACCCAAAAAAATAACCAAAGATTTGCCATCGTCTTTCTTTTTTGCACCCAAAATTAAAGTATACAAAAATCAAATGAACTATAGGCGGCAATGATAAAGTATTATTGGAAATATCTACCTTGTATCATAATAATATGGATAAGTCTAGTCAATTCAATGAATACAAATTCCCCATGGGATAATTCCACACTTCATAATCATAATCAATCTATGATAATTCACCCGTATCAACCAACCAAACCTCAAGTTTATAAACATATTGTTCATCAACTACAAGAGACCAGACCATTAATTTCAGTTCTGAATCAAGGCGTTCCTATTAGTTATCAGAATCCACATGTTGAATTACGTCCGATTATATCGGCATTAAGTATTCCATTGGATGAATCTGAAAAAATCGAAATGATGAATGAGTCTAAGAAATATATTGTTATCACAAAGACAATAACCCGATTGTCGACTTTGATTACTGGTTTACCTGACAAACTGGAGTTAATAGCGGAGGATAAACATACGTCTATTGAGTTGATACATGATGATGAACAGACAGTGACGAAATTAGAATATAATGAAACACCTATCAATCGGTCAATCAATATTGAAACTCTAACAAGAAATCAAGCTAGAGATCAAGTTGCATTAGAAGAAATCAAGAGATTAGAAAGTTTGTTACTAGATTTAAAGAAGGATATGCTACGTCGGCAAGAGAAGTTTAGATTACAATTGCTATCAATGGCTTATGCTTCAACCGAACATCAAGATATTAGTAAGACAAGTACAGAAGTAACATCCACCGAGAATATAGATGAAGGGAACAAGAATGAGAACAACAATAAAGGACAGAATGAATCTGCAAGTCTACAGACACATAAGCAATATGAAAATGAACATGCACATGGTCACGGTAAGAATCATGTTCTAAATCAAAAGAATCCTTCACATTCAGTATTAATTGTCCCTCAATTTCAACACCATAATGCTGATCATCAACAACCTAATAGTGGTATTGGATATGCTAAACCAAAGATAGTTTATACTGGTAATGGGTATCATACCCTGATTTTATCTACTATATCTAGTAGTAATACCGCGGATTTCTATAATAATTTTCCGGATGCAACCATGCCTACAAAAACAATTGCAAATAATTTGAAACCAGGATTTAATATTATTGATGAAGTATTTGAAACTGATGGATTATCATTTGATTTAGAAGAATTTTTGAATAATAACGTTGATCCAGCATTAATATTTCATGTACCTAAACAATTATTACAAGAGAATAATAAGGTTATGACTGGGATCAATCCATTATCTACTGGTATATTGATGAGTGAAGATGAAGAAGAAGATGATCTAGAACAAAGGAATATTAGTACTAGTAGTAGAAGACCTAATAATAGATTTGTTAATCATAATCTGAGTATTGATTTTGATGTTTTTAGAATTGATATTTTACAAAATAATGGTAGTAATATTTATTATTGTATTGTATGGTTATGGATATTTCTACTATTATTATTATTGATGATTATATAGTTTGTTTAATATTTACATGTGATTTTTTGATTTTGATTTTGTCCAACATTTTTTTTTTGGGTCACATTTCCGTTGCTAAGTTAAGAAAAAATTGTAGTGTGATCTTCTTTCTTTCTTTGTATCGTCTGCGTCTTATTGTTTTTTTTTCTGTCACTTTATTTAAGAAAATTAAATTTACAGGAAAAATATAAAAAAGAACAACCCAGACCCCTTTTTTTCCTTTTACCATTTAAATAAAAAGAAAACAAAAATTAAATTTCATAATCTCATCACTTACTAACTAACTATCGTTTAATAGAGAGAGACATACATATAAACAAACAAAGATGACATTAACAGAGAATATGAATGACTTTGATAATGAAATAAGATTACGTAAACCATCAACAACAATATTTGATTTTGATGCAAATGGTTCTTATATTGAAGAAGATGATAAATCATATATTTTCAATAGTTCTTCAATAGAAATAGATGATACTATGGATGATGAAGATGAAGAGGAAGAAGATGGAGATGAAGATACATTAGATGATGACCTTGATGACACTGAAGTAGAATTTGATGACGACCTTATTAATAATAAATTATCTCAACAAGAATCTATACTAGAAAGCACAGCCAGTTTAAATGAAAACGATACCACTACAACTACCCCAACCAGTAATCAACAACAAAGTAAATTCCGGGCATTTCTTATTAAACATGAAATACCTAGAAAAGTTTTCCATTCTTCCATTGGTATAATCACATTATGGTTATATACTTTGGGAGTTACAATCCCACAATTATTCATACCATTATCAACTATGTTTATTCTTGTATTAACTAATGATTTAATAAGATTAAATAATCCAAATTTAAATAAAAAAATTTGTAAATTAATGTGGTTTATGATTAGAGAAAATGAGATTAAATCTTATAATGGAGTATTATATTATTTAGCTGGTGTTTTAATTGTATTCACATTTTATCCTAAAGATATTGCTGTTTTAAGTGTTTTATTGTTAAGTTGGGCTGATACTGCTGCTTCAACATTTGGGAGACAATTTGGTAAATACACCCCTAAATTAGCCAGTGGTAAATCATTAGCTGGTTCTTTGGCAAGTGCGATTATAGGTACTTTAGCAGCATATTTATGGTATGGATATTTTATTCCAAAATATAATAATTTTAATTCATCAACTGATATTTTTTGGACTCAAGAGACGAGTTTATTAAATTTCCATGTTTATGCAATTTTATGTGGTGTAATTGCCAGCGTATCAGAATTTATTAATTTATGGGGATTAGATGATAATTTTACAATTCCTGTATTGGGTGGTACTTGTCTTTATTGGTTGGTTTATTGGACCCATATCTAGAAGCGAGCATAGCGAAGCTTCTAATGCGCAGCGAAGCTGTTTCTTCGCGAAGCGAAGTTTCTATCGAGCGAAGCTCATTTATTAGAAGCGAAGCTTCCTTTGCGCAGCGAAGCTGCTATTGAAAGTAGCGAAGCTTCGCTTCGCTCAATATATTATGAATAGTTGTTCCCACTCCCATCCCACTATCTTTAATTAATTGGGCTTAATGTTTAGAGTTGTTTTGTATTTTGCTGCTAATTTAAAATTTTAATAGAACTTTTTTAATATGTGCTTTTTGTTTATGATATATCAGTTTAGTTTAATTATAGTCATGTCAAATAGTCTAATAATAATAATTAATAATAATAAATATTTAATGCTTTACTTAATCTATACTCTCCTAATTACTCTACTTACGCTTCATTGGCAAATAAAGCAGCATAACCTTGACCAGTTGAAGTACACATTGAAATAACCCCTAATTCTTGATTTTGTGCTTGTAAGCCATTTAATAAAGTAGTGGTAACTCTACCACCAGTGGCACCCAAAGGATGTCCAATAGCAATAGCACCTCCATATGGATTAACTTTATCATAATCTAATCCTAATTTTTCAATACAATAAATTGATTGAGATGCAAATGCTTCATTCATTTCATAAATATCAATATCTTTAGTTTCAAGTCCTAACCTTTGTAATAATTGTGGGATAGCAGCAGATGGTCCAATACCCATTAATCCTGAAGGAACACCAGCAACGGTAGATCCAACAAATCTAGCAATTGGTTTTATACCCAAACTTTCGGCATTAGCTCTAGTAGTTAAAATAACTGCAGAAGCACCATCAGAAATTTGGGAAGAATTTCCCGCGGTAGTAGCACCATCATCAGTGAAAACTGGTTTTAAGGTGGATAATTTTTCATAAGTTGATCCTGGTCTAACTCCATCATCTTTGGTAATTAATTCAATTTTTGATTCATCGGCCACGGATCTTGCTTCTACTGGAATGATTTCTTTAGCAAAATGTCCTGATTCAATAGCTTTTGCTGCTTTTAAATGAGATTTAACAGCAAATTCATCTTGTGATTGTCTACTAATCCCAAATTTAGAAGCAACATTTTCAGAAGTAAGACCCATTGGCATTAATACATTTTGAGCTTCTTCATTAGCATCTTGTTTAAATGGTTCATAAATTCTAGTTGGGATACCACGATGAGGGAAATAATCATGAGTCATAGATTCAACACCGGCAGCAATGGTGAATTTATTCTCTCCGGTTAATAAAGTCCCGGCAGAATATGTAATAGCTTGAGCCGATGAAGCACATTGACGATTTATAGTATTGACAGTGGTTTTGATTGGGAAACCAACTTTTTTAACTGCTAATGCAGAAGCTTTTTGTCCTCCCAAAGTTTGTAATACGGTACCTACCAAGATATCATCAATTAATTCTGGATTTATTTTAGAACGATCAAGAGAACCTTTTAAAACTTGATATAATAATTCTTCTGGGTACATTTTGGAAAGTCCACCTTTAAGACCTCTTGTGACTGGAGTTCTTAATGCAGATAAGACAACAATATCATTAGCTGATTTCTTTAAAATTGGAAGTGACATGGTGGGTGGGTATATGTATGGTATATAGAATATGTTTCATTCTAAATAAAATCTAAAGAAATCGTTGGAGGTGGGAATCAAAGTATATTTATACCAGGTCGTTTTGGGGTTTTATTGGTGGGGGAATTGAAAAAAAAATTAATTTTTTAAATCACAATATCCGCATAAATCAATTTCCGAAGATCATCACTCACGAACAAGCCACCAAAGATTTATTCCACAGTAAAAATTCGCCATTGAAGATATCAACAATATAGGTGACACTACTCAGATGATCATATTATAGTTACCAAGTATTGTTTCTTAAGTTTAAACTCGTAGTACTAGTTTATTGGATAGATTTAAGATTCTGTCAAAAATGGAAATACAAGAAAATAAGAAATAAAACATACGGAATTATGCAGATCCGTTTCAACCCGGACTTGAAAACAAAAAAATACGGATTTACAATTTTTGTTCTATAAACAGAAAAAAGAAACTTCCGGAATCGGGTGTGATAATTGAGCAAATACACACTACCCTATCTATGCTACTACGCTATGGTTTGTCAATCATTTGTCTAATTTTAATAAAACCATCATAATCTAAATGACCTTTAACTCCATCATATCTACTTAATTTCATCCAACCTTCTTTTAAACCTTTTTTATAAAAACCTTCAACATTTTTCTTTGCAATTGAAAATTCTGCTTTTTGTAATAAATAATATAAAGTAGTTAATTTATCCCAATCTTGATCTTCAGCAACAGAAGGTAAAAAAGTCCCCAGATAATGTTCATTATCATAATTAAATGATATTTTCAATCCATTCAATCCAATTGTCCAATCATAATAATCTTTAATTTCTATAAAATTTTCCAAAAGTGTAACTGAAACACTTAATTTAGAATTTATTTCTGATTTTGATATTGGTGGGAATCTTGGATCGTTAAGTGCAGAACTAATTGAAAATTTTGCAATTCCTGATTCTATTGGTAAATTTTGGAAAGTACCAATACATCCACGTAAATGATCATTCTTATTCCAGGTTATAAATAATGGTGCTTGTTTTGGTAATTGATGAATATTTTCCTGTAAGATATCAAAATAATTTTTCATTGAATGTTTTGATGATTGACTATCTAGAACATTTAATTTATTGATTAATGTTTCAAATGCATAACAGCATAACGCTTTTGACATGATGGATTGGTTATTGATATTAGGTTGGTGGATAAGGAAGAGGTGGCAAAGAGATACTGAAATTGTTTCAAATATGGGGGCAACGGGAGGAGGGGGATAAGTTAGTCGTGTAAAGTTGCAAAAAATTGAAAATCCCCCCAGTTTTGGGATTTGGAGCGCGCATCTCCGGTCCCTTAATAATTTTGCAGCCATTCTTACAAATGTGACAATATCACATTAAAGTAGTCTTTCAGAAGGATTTGATCGATTCAAATTTGGTATATTGTATTGTTACACGATGGTTCTGAAAGTAATTTAAAAGGTTGGAAATGAACTTCCAAGAATCATTATTAGAAACTGGTTTCAATTCACAAAGTTGGAAATGAACTTCCAAGAATCATTATGAGAAACTAGTTTCCAAGATAAATATCGATGTCCAAGAAATGAGAAAATATCCTTTGGCCCTTGGTGTTAAGACTATGGAATTCATTTCTTCTCGGTGTTGCAAAACTCCGAATCTTTTCCATTATATTATTTACAAGATATTGACTAGAGAGACGGTACATTTGTACAATATGTATATTCCTATTTACCCAAAAAGCAAGTTACTTTTCTTTATATAAATCCTATCCTACGTATCAATTTGAAGCCATTGTAATTTTTGTAATTTTTCAATACTAATTAATTTATTATAAATTTCTTGTTTAAATTCAGATTCATTAGTTGTTGTTGTGGTTGTTGATGGTATAATTGGAATATGACAATAAGATAAATCCAAATATTCCAACGATTTTGGGAAAATTCTTCCATTAATTTGTTGATAAAAATCATAAAAATAATTTCCCTTTAAATTTAATTTAACTAATCCAGATGGAAATGAATATAATAATTTTGAGAATAAATTTCTTGATAAATCAAGATTCTCTAATGATTTACACAAGGGTGAAGTTGATAATTTTGGAATTGTAGTTAGATTATTACTTGATAAATTTAATTCCTTTAAGTTGTAAGTCTGAATATTTCTTGAATCTGATAAATCAATATAAACAATATTATTATTTGATAAATCAAGTATTTGTAAATTTATTAAAGATTTCCAATTGAAATTATGATTCATTAATGAAGTTATGTTATTATTTGATAAATTTAAATAAGTTAAACTTTCAGGAAATTTAGATATAATTCCTAAATCACTAATTCCATTAAATGATAAATCTAAAGATGTTAACATTGTATCATATGAATTAATATGATTTGATAACATTTCAATATGTCTAAATCTTAATTGTAAAAGTCCAATAATTGATAAATCATATGGATGACTACTTATTTGTTGTCCAACATATTTAAATGAAAATAAATTTAATTGACATTGAATCCTCACAATATAATCAAATAATTGTTGAATGATATAATCTTTATCATCAAAGAGTTCAAGATTTAAATTGACTCTTGTAGTGAATATGTTAACATAATCAATAATCTTGTATTGGAAAAGTTGTTTTATAAATTGATTCCTTGTTTCATAATCATCTATAACATTAATAGTTATTGACTTAGGATGTATAATGATATTATGATTAATGAAATATCTGATTTGATTAATTGATAAGTAATTAGGATCATTAGGTTTATGGATATTGGAAAGGTATAAGTTAGTTCTTGATATATATTCATTATAAGCTATATATCTTATTGATAAATATGCATCATTATGTTCAGTTATTGGATGGAATAAATTATTTAAATCAAATAAATCATTTAAATCTTGCGAAGATAAATTAGATAATGATACTTTAATTAACTCTGGTGGAAGATTAAATATGTTATTCATTTTAAAGCTGGTTGTAAAGTTTATAAAATGATGTGAAACAGATTGGAATTAATTGTTGTTTTAAATATTTAAATTGTATTAATAACCATTATTGTCCCTTTTTTTGCAACTGGGATATTCACACAGTGTATAAAAATGCAACCCTTTTTAATTATTATTTATTTTTCTTGGGCTAATTAACTTCGTACTTAATAAGAAACTATTTTGATTATAAGTAAATTGATAATAACAAGAAGAAGATGAAAAAGATGAAAGAAGAAAGAAATTGAAAAGATTATAAATAAAATAAAGTAAATAAGGATAGAATGGGATTTTTATGAAATTTCGGTGATAAAGATGATAAAGATGATGAGATCAGATGTTACAGTAACCACACTTCCTACTAAAAAAATATTTAAACTGATACAAAAACAGTGACAAGAAAAAAAAAAGATGATGATGATGATTTAAATGATGATGATTTCCTCCTTATCAATTTTTTGATTTTTTGATTTGCTTATTATTTAATATATTTATATAATAATAATGATGATCTACTCAATCAGTCACTCATATATAATTTAAGCCTTGGGATAGTAAAGATAGATAATCATTAATATATGAAGATACTTTTAACACAGCAAGAGAGTATTTGGGTTAAAATTTCCTAAATATCTTTTGAAACACTCTTATCATATTAACTTTAAAACTTTGCAACTGTGGCTTTTCACACTTTCCCTTTCTACTGCTATGTGCACTACGGATTAGAGTTTATACAATACCAAAAAAAAATTGGGTTGCAACTTATCACATCTCTCTTTTATCTTTATCTTAGTAAAAAAGTAAAACAGACAATACATTACTACATTCTATAACTTAGATAGAGCTTTACAAGAATGTACTTTACCTTATATTTCTACAAGTAGACCAAGTTCTACTGTACATCCATTATCACAGTACTAAAAATCTGCCACTATGTATCCCACACACGACCTTTTCTATTGGGTGTTTTTTTTTTTGGTTGCTGGCTATTTGATCTTCACTACTAAACTTCTTCTATTAGGAATATCAAAAACTAACCGGAGCTATTTGAACCTTTCCTACTATACAACACACAGCTAAATCACAATGGGTCTTTGCTTATCATGTCTACTGCACTCACAAGATGATGAAGATAATGAAACTTCATCTTTATTAAGAAATCAACAAAATTCTTATAATTCAAATTATGCTCAAGAAGAACAATTATTAAAAGAACAACAACAACGACAACAAGAATTATCAAATATAGTCAATGAATTATCAGATAAATTAATTGATGTAACATCATTCTTGAATCCTAGCACCACCGCTACCAACTTACAACAACATCCCTCGTTATCTTCATTGACTCATAATATCTCTCCTCAAGAGCATGAAATTAATAATGATAATAATGAACAAAGTAATGTAAGGGTATATCCCTATGTTTATAATGTAGAGGATAGAGATAAGGTATTAAAAGAAATGGAAGAGATAAATCAATCAATTAGAGATTCTTGTAAAGTACAATTAGAAGAACCTTTATATTTGAAATTTTAGAATGCATGTCTTACATAAATATCTTTGTATATATTTAGATGTAAAGTTAATGAATAATGAGTTAATTAGATATAAATTTGAATAAACCTTTTAAACAATGATCACACCTTCTTTATGTCAAACTCTAGAGTTTAGGAAAGTGGTTTTCTTATGGTATTATGTAGTAGATGTGTGTTGATAAAACAGTTAAAACACTCGAATACAGGTTTCCACCTATATGGGTGCAATTAAGAGACATCAACAGCTTATTCCTCAAATATATCAAAGGGAATCGAGAAGGACCTAACCCCATCTACTACAACGTTACATTTTTTGTTTTGTGTTCTAAATGTCCATTGTTCGATGGCCCCCACCAGATTGTGCCCCCCAAACCCTGGAATAAAGTATTTTCTCGAGACTATAAAAGGACAACAATATCCCCCCAACTTCTCCTTTTCCTTCCTTCTTTCCTTCCTTCCTTGTCAGGTTCTCTTTCCTTTACCTAATCAAAAGTTACAAATGACAATTACAATTAATTGGGGTATTCTTGGAGCAGGTAACATTTCTGCTCAGTTTGTTCATGATTTATTATTGAACAACTCACGTCAAACAGAAATCCGCCATATTGTTAAATCAATTGGTTGTTCTTCAAAAGAAAAAGGTGAAAATTTTATTCAATCAGTTAAATTAATTCCTGAAACCAACAATTATGGAATTTCTCCAAAAGTTGAAACTTACTCGCAATTATATGCCAATCCAGAAGTTAATATTGTTTATATTGGAACTCCACATAATTTCCACAAGAATCAAGCAATTGATTGTTTAAATAATAATAAACATGTCTTATGTGAAAAACCTTTAACTGTTAATAAAAAGGAAGCAATTGAATTAATTAATTTAGCTAAATCTAAAAACTTATTCTTTATGGAAGCAATGTGGACAAGATTTTTCCCAGCAATTACTAAATTAAGAGAGAAAGTTTATCAGGAAAAGGTAATTGGAGATATTCATAGATTATTTGCGGATTTATCTTATAATTCAGATATCACTAATGTTCCAATTACTCATCGTATTAGAGATAAAAATTTAGCTGCCGGTTCATTATTAGATATTGGAATTTATCCAATCACTTATTCAAGAATCTTATTAGATGATAAAGTGGGCCAAAATCATTCTAAATTTGATTATAAATCATTCTTAACTTTGGATCCTACCGATGGAATTGATCATCTTTGTTCAATTATTGTCAAATATGAAAATGGTACTCATGGGTTATTAACTTGTTCGGAATTTATTGATGGCCCCAAGGCGTATGTTAGATTAGAGGGAACTAAAGGTTGGGTTGAAATGTATAGTGATAATCCAGCAAGAGCTAAACATTTTAAAATCTTTAATAAAGCAGGTGAAGAAATTTTTGAATATAAAGATGAGTCAGGATATAATGGTTTCATTTATGAAGCTAATGCTTGTGCAATTGATATTCAATCTGGTAAGATTGAAAATGATATTATGCCCCATGATGAAACTTTATTGGTTATGGATATTATGGATCAAATTAGAAAAGATAATGGATTAGTTTATGATCAAGATTTGTAGATTTCGTTCACAGTAAAAAATTGTTGCAAAACTTCAATTTAGGCTGCGAAAAATTAAATACACAAACAAAAAACTTTTAACCAATTTGTAATCATTTCTCTTGCATATTTTGCTTTCCCTTTCTTTTCAAAGAAGTAACCATACATAATCCTCTGATATGTTTCTAGTTACTTGGCTACTACTACTCATAACAACAATAACTTCAGTGGCAAATACTGCAATATCCGATATAAATATCAACAATGATGTGGTGAATTTGAAATTTCTCAATCAAAATTTAGATTTATGGAAACGAAGTAACACAACCGATCCAATAATTCAAGGACAACTTCCTCCTTCTCCTCCTCCACCTTCAACTACAACTCCTAAACCAACCATAGACAGTATTGCCAAACCTTCAGATATCAACACCGGGTCATCAAATCTGGAAGAACTCCCAAGTACCAAAACTGAAGATTTATCAATTGAAGTTACAGCACAAGGTAAACTTGATAATAAAAAGAAATGGCATGTAGGTGCAGGTCTTTATTTTAATAAAGAAATTGATTATTATTCCGTTGCTGAAAAGGAAGAAGGAAGTAGTTCAGAATTTAGTGGAAGTGGTAGTGGAAGTTGTTCTGATAGTGAAGATGAAGGGAAAAAAGGATGGTTCCGTTCATTTGCAATTGATGGGTATAATAATCAAAGAAATATCATTCCAACTTCTGAAATGGTTTCAAGAGCAAGTGGCCAAAGTCATAATTTATATACTGAAGAAAATGATGATATTAAAAAAGTAAAGGGGAAATCAATATTAAGTAGACCACGAAATAAAACTTATACTTTACCAACAGAGGAAGAAACTATCAAAAAACAACAACAAACTGATACATATCTCTTAGGATCAGAAAAGGATGATTATTATAGGTATGAAGATAATGGGGAAATATCGCAAGCAAATTCAATCTATCTAATCTATAAATATTGGAGAAGTTCACTATGTATTGTCTTTATTTATATTCTCTTTTCTTAAATTAATAATAACACTATGGATTCTTATTGTAATGCACGTAATCTTTGTCTCATTTCATCAAGTGCTATTTGATCTTCTTCCTCAATTTCTTCTTGCACTGGTTCTTCTTTTGCTTCCAATTCATTCTTGGGTACATCATTGCTAATTTTGGCGAATTTATCTTCAGTCAAACTGGCAATAATCTTATTTACTTCTTCTTGAGATTCAGATTCTAATTCCTCATCTTGTTCATAATCTAAATCGATCATATCATCCATCATTTCATTAATAATACCTGCTTTCAATAATTCTTTTGATAGTTCTTGCATGGTTTGAGTTACTACTCCAACATGAATTAATTGATTAACATCCTTCATAACTGAAGTCAGGGCATGAATCGATTGAGTCAATTTGTTCATCTGCCATTGTTCATTTATCGACATTGTAATTGAATCTATTCTAGTTTTTGAAGTATAAAGTTTATTATATTGTCGATTAACATTGATTAATTCTTTTGCATATAATCTTGCTGTTTTATAATCCTTATCTTTTACAGCTTTTTTTATTAACGTTTCAGTTTTCTTCTTTAAAGGTTGAAGTTGATTTAGTGATCTATCTAATTCACGTTTATTCTTCCGAAGTAATTGATTAATCTTTCTCATCTAAAAATGGGACAGTTGGTTAGTATTCTTAAGGTACTATTGTAACCAAATAGGTAATGATACATACTTGTTCCTTTGGATCAGGTCCATATATTTGTTTCTTTATAAAGTCCATGGCTGATGATATATCTATTGGGTTGGGTTATCTATATATATATTGAATAGATTATGTTTGATTCAATTTGGTGGTAAAGTTATATGTTGTTGAAACTTTGCGGGAAAAAGAAATTATTAGTGGGATGCGGCGCGCTATCTATTTCCATTTATGGATCTTCTTTGTTGCAAGGATTTAGCTCTCACCCGAACCAACTGAATAATGGACGAAGAATGAGAAACTGTTACTTTAAAAGGTTCATGTAGATACTGGGTGACAAGGGGATATTCATATGCAAGTGACCCAGAAACCCTTTGCAATATGGAGAATTGGTTAAAATAATTTGTCTTTATTTCAATTGAAGGTTGCAAAATTTTGGTCCAAAATCAATAGAAAACTTTAACAAATGAGGTTCTGTCTCTCTGTTTTGATACCAGAGAGATAAAAGTACAATTATATCCTAAATTTTTCCAGGTAATAATATGAGAAAGCGCTCGATGGTAATTCAGCCTTACTCGCGAGAAATGAATCATTACCTTTTTGGCTGTCAACCCTCTAACAAAGAAAAGGCATCAAACTTTACCATTGCCCCCACCAAGAAATTGGGATGTCTGTCTAATTCAAAGGTGGATTGATAACTTGCGTATGTAACATCTTATTTGATTAGAGACATTTGAAGTTATCTTAACAGACTAACAAATAGGGGGATTCTCAACAAATAAAATACTTCTAAAATTAGCGATCTTCTCAACATCATTCATTGATCATCCATTCATTCCATATGAAACAAAGGAAAAATTGACAGATTGTTTTTCTATGTAAAGAGGCGCAATTAAAAGCTAACAATTAAAAATTATTAATATCATGAAATAGAATTCCTATTTTATATTACAATTTTCTTTTAAGAAGGTTAAGTCTATTAAGTGATATCCGATGGCAAATAATCCAACACCAAGTACAGAACAAGTTCATTTCTTGTTAATAATTATTGGTATAGTCTTACCACCTTTAGCAATCTTTTTAGTTAAAGGTAATTCAATTTGGAATAAAGAATTTTGGGTTTCATTATTATTAACAACCTTTGGACATATACCAGGAGCTATATTTGCTCTTTATTATATGATATGTATTGAGTTTGTCAAAAGAAGAGGTGATGATGAAGGTGGGTATCATAGATTACCTGATGATGAAGAATCTCAACTTAGAGCAGAAGCAACTGCAACAGATCAAGACGGACCAACAGCAACAAATGCTAAATTACCTGTTCCTGGAGGAGTACCACCACCAGCAGCTGAAGGTTCATCGTCAAATACAGAAGCTGGAGGAGATCTTCCGGCTTATGAGGATATAGTTGGTTTGTCACAACCACCACTTTCTGATACAAAGGCTAATGGAGATAATAAAGTTCAACATTAGATATTACATACATACATATCTTTATATAAAACTTGTTTAGCTGTAGTTATCAATTACAACCATTGATTTTGCAACAAATCCTTCTAAATGGAAAATACTCTTTGATCCTAAACTTAATCTTTCATTAAATATTGAAGCTAATTCAACTAATTCTTGTATAATCGAATCATTATTGAATTGATCAATTAAATCCATTAGCAAAGTTTTCAATATTGTTCTAGCTGGTATACAATGTGATAATAATTCATATAATACAACTCTAATTTTAGCTAAAGTTGCAACATTTCGATTATTCTTGATTTGAATTGATAAATTCTTAATTATAATTTCCCAATCTAAATTAATTAATGAAAGATTGGTACTCTTTAAATTGATAGTTTCATTTTGCATACAAATAGTTTCAAAACTTAATAAAGCTCTTCTTAAATTTCTATTACTTTCAATTGAAATATGATTAAATAAATTGGTTAATTCTTGTTCATTGGTTGAACTAAATTTGATTGATTCCTTTTGAGAAATATTGTTTAAAATTGAATTAATATTTCCAATTGATGGGCTTGGTATTCTAACCAATAGAGTTCTTGATTTAATTGGACTTATAATATTAGAAATTGTGTTACAAACTAATATCAATCTAATATTTGATGAATATTTTTCCATAGTTCTTCTTAAAGCAGCTTGAGCATCTCTACTTAATGAATCAGCTTCATTAATAATAACAATTTTGAATCTATGTTTAGTTTTTGATGAACTTTGATTACTGAAATCAACTTGCTCAGTTGATGCAACATCTTTTAATAAATCTTGAATAACAACTCTATCATTATTTCCCATATCAGAAGGAGTAATTTCTAAATGATAAGGAGAACTTAAAACATTAAATTCTAATTTCCTATTAGATGAAGTTACAAATGTTTTAACATCAATTTTTAACTTTTCAACTTGTGAACCAAAGATTTCATTTAATGTACAATAAATTCTAGTCTTTTTACCTGAACCACTTGGTCCATAAACTAATAAATGAGGAAAATCCCCTGATTTTGATAAGGCTCGTAAACTTTGAGTAATTGAATCATGATATGATAATTGTGATAATGTCTTTGGACGATATTTGTCTACCCATAAAGACATGTCTATATGCTGTATATATTATTTGAGATAGATAGAGAAGTAATATGAAATAAAAAGAAGTAGAAATCGAAATCGAAAATGAAAAAAAATAAATTTTCAAAGAGACGCGTCGTATTTGTTAACTATGGAATCAAAATTTAACTATGTACTTTTCTTTGGTTGAGTTCTAATGAAATGAGTTGGACAAGCATAACCTTCCGGATTCTTATCTAAATATTCTTGATGATAATCTTCAGCATCGTACCAAATACTAATTGGTTCAATAACAGTATATATAGTATCATTAGGATACCATGTCTTTTGATATTTATCCTTTAATTCTAATGCTACTTGAAGGTCTTCGTTACTATGAGTTAAAATTGCAGATCTATATTGAGTACCAGTATTTCTTCCTTGGGCATTAAGTAAAGTAGGATCATGCATTCTAAAAAAGATATCTATAATATCTTCAACAGTTAATTGAGATGGTTCATAAGAAATTTGAACACTTTCAACAAAATTAGTTGTGCCAGTGCATACTAATTTGTAATTAATATTATCAATAGTTGCTATACCATTAGCATATCCAACTTTGATATCAATTAATCCTTTATCAGTAAAATGTTTTCTAAGTACTCTTTCAACACCCCAGAAACATCCACCAGCTAAGGTAATCAACTGAGAGGTGGCAGTTGTTTTTAAAGTTGGAGATACAGTAGTGGTAGTAGTTTCAATAGTCATTTTTTGTTCAATTTAAAGTATATACTCAAGAATAGAATAGAAGAGAGAGAAAGAAAAAAGTGAATAAGAAGTCAATGGTATCTTTATATATTGTATAGGGGTCTCTCTTGAAGAATTACTTGGCATTTCGACAGAACAAGAGAGGGAAAATACATTGTGGTTTGATCCATTTAGATATTGCGTCAACCTTTGTTCTTAGTCTAAGTAATAAAGACGCCACACTTTCTAATTTCTTTTGTTCAGAGATCTATTAGATTAGATTCTTTTAAATTAAGATGAGCCGTTAATTAGTTTTTCATTCTTTTCTTTCTCTCAGGGGATACAACAAGATCTAACTTACCTCACCTTTTCCCATGTCAAATTCGAAACACATTCAAAGAGCAATACATCATGAATGGTTGCAACCAAACGAATTACCACCTAATCACACTACCACACCCAGTAGTCCAAAGTAATAATTTATGTTAAAAGAAATCTGGGGTCGGTAGAGTACCTTAGTGACTCATATAATATACCCCATCAAGAGATTCCCGAGTTTAAAGTAAAGAGCATCAAATGATGCTTTGATAAGTTTGTCATTTATGCGCCACAGATCCACAGTTAATACATGAGCCGACTAAGCATACGAAATAGACGAGGAAATAGAGCTGCAAATGAGAAATAGATAACTTTAAACTACAAACTAATTCTTCCAAGCATATATTCCATTATGTTACTCATTAAACCTATTTAAAAGTCATTTAATCTATGCCTTAGGCTTAGTTCTTATGAAATGAGAGGGACATTCATAACCTTGTGGGTTCTTTTCTAAATACTTTTGATGATATTCCTCAGCATCATACCAAACTTTAATTGGTTCTATTATGGTAACAATCTTATGATTTGGATACCATGTTTTTTGATATTCTTCCTTCAATTTCCAAGCCAATCTATTGTCTTCATCACTATGAGTTAAAATAGCCGATCTATATTGAGTACCAATATCTGGACCTTGTGAATTGACTGTGGTTGGATCATGCATTCTAAAGAAAATATCTAAAATATCTTCCAATTTCAATTGAGATGGTTCATATGAAAGTTGTATACTTTCAACAAAGTTAGTGGAACCAGTACAAACCAATTCATAATTGACATTACCAATAGTTGGTATACCATTGGCATAACCTACTTTAATATCAAGCAATCCTTTGTCAGCAAATTGCTTTCTAAATACTCTTTCAACTCCCCAGAAACAACCAGCTGCTAACGTGATTAATTGGGAAGTACTTGTTGTGATTAATTTTGATGAAACAGTAGTAGTGGACATTGTAAAATAATTTAGAATTAATACCTTTATTTGGAAAAGAAAGAAGTTGTTTGGCTTTATAACTTTCTCAACTTTATAGGGTCCCGATGATGCCATGCAAGGGAAGGAAAAAAAAAATATTTACACACCAAAAAGCCCCACAAAAAAAAACATCCAATCTGCCATTAAAAAAACAATGAGGTAGTCAAAAATTTGCACAAGTCATGTGATCTACTTTCGTTTGAATCCAAAAATTGACTTCTTTCTTTCAACATTATTAGTAGTAGATCCAGAACTTATGGAAGTACCACTCTTTTTATCTGAATTTGAATCATTTTTATTATCTCTTCGTTTAAGTCCACCAACCCATGATTTCTTCTCTTTTGGTTCTTTATGACTACTTGATCTAGAAGGTGGTTTTTCTTCCTTTGACGATGATGAATCAAATTTGAAAGATTTGAACATACTTGACCTCCTTTGTTCTGAACCATTGAATGAACCCAATGACGATGTTTCTGATTTCAGATTTTCATTTTGTTGTTCTTCCACTAATTCTTTAGACATACTATGATTCTTTGAAGATATAATTGGACTGCTTTGAGGATTCAATTGTTGAAAGGTTGCAAAATCTTCACCTTTATACATATCATTGACATTAAAGCCAAAATTTATATCATCGCTATTAGCAGTGGCGTGAGATTTGGAATAAAATAAGATATATGCACTGGCTAACCCTGGACCATTTCCAAAGAATCTCATGACGTAAGAATCCTCAACTAGTTCAACTGTTTCATCATCAAATAAAAGCCATAAACCGGCTTTAATTTTACAAATTGAAACATAATGTCCATGCATTGGTCCACCACCAATATGAATTACTAATGCATAAAGTTCATATAAATGCAGTTCTTGTTCATCATCAGTGGTATTAAACAATCTCAATCCGAATGGATAACTAATTGAATCAAATAATTTCACCATTTTATCAACTGATTCATCATATTTGAATCTTTTAAGATTTATGACAAGAACTTCGGGTAATTTTTTCAATTTGATTGTTTTAACTGCTTCTTGAAGTGATGAACAGGTATTACAATAAAATTTATTTTGATTACTTAATGTTTCCAGTTTTGAAAAATTGTTTAGGGAATGATTTAATGAATATGCACATTGACCTGGAGGAATATCAACTGATAAATCAAGAAAGAATTCATGTTTGGAAGTTACTGCTTCACACGAAAGACATTTAGTTTCATTTGTAATTAATCCTTGAAAAATATTATTACACCAATTATTATCTATTCCAACTTCTTTATTTAAACTTTCAATAATTTCATTAATTAAATAATTAAAGAATTCATGAGCATCATGATGCATATTATTTTGTCGAAATAAATAATTCTTTTCTTTTAATTTATAAATGAAATGAACTGGTGAAACAACTCCAATAGTTGATTTATTCTCAATCATTGCTTCAAACATATCTTTTAATGCATATAATAATGCTGAATCTTCTTTATCTTCTGATTGTAAAGAAGAATCTAAATTTATAATTGGACCATTAATTAAAGCTGATCTTTTCCGTTGATCTACATTTGGATTTGGATTAAATGGATTAATTGGATTTAATAAAGTAGGTTCTGGATGTGGAATACCAACAATGATAGAACTGGAAGTAGAACCAATTGACCCCTCTGGAGCAGATTGTTGCATTTGTTGATCATTATTTAAAAGCATTGATGAACTTTGAGAATAATCTACTTTTGTTGAAGAACCTGTGACCTCATTAGTTGGTCTTGTTACTAAGATAGCAAGTTTCAGGAATTCAGGACTTTTACTTATTTTAATTCTTTGATCAAAATTAAGACAATCACAATTATTTGCTTCTTTAATATATTGAGCAAATTTCCGACAATCATCCCCGGGATTTGAAGTTTGACCTACTGTAGATGATGAATAATTGAATTTGATTCCAAATATAGAACTTTTTCGAGACAGTTTGGGTCTATCTTCATTACTCCCTATCCCACTGTTTCCTGATCCAGCCAGAATAGGAGCATTATTTGGTTGTTCTCGTAATCTTTTCTGATATAATTGATCATATTTAAAAGTGAAATTATGAGGTCTTGATCCTAGTACTGATAATTTAGGATCATGCTTGGTATAATTATGCAGCACTAAATGTTTTCTAAAGCTTTCTGTATAATATAGACATTGAAGAATTGAATTACAATAACAAGTATTTCCAAAGTTTTCCATTCCAAAAATCTTATGTGATCCATCACCATAGGGGAGATCTAATGGAGGTGGAGGTGGATGATATGCTCTTGTCATTGTGGTGGTGGTGATGATGAGTATGTAGGTAGGTAATATGTGAATAGACCCTTGATTAATGGTGCTGCTGTGTAATATCAAATCCCAGTTGACCCTTTTGAACGTGTGAACACTTGACTGCATATAGATGAGCCGCACCTATTTGAGAATTATGTATTACCCGGCAATTAAAACCAAAGCAAAATAGAAAAAAAGATTTTTTCATTTTCCAATTGGAAGAAGAAAAGCTTATGGAAACATCCAACCCAACCCATTCCCATCCAACTTATATTAAACAAGGCAAACAACAATGTTTGGGTTGATAAGAAGCAATTTGGTTAGCTCTATCAAGCCTACCACAATAATGACAAGTTCAGTTCCAGTTTTAAGTTCATCAACTTTTGGATCATCCTTTTCTATATTCAAAAGATTTAGACATGAATATTCTCCAAGAGTTAAAGTAGTTAGAAAAGCACAAAAGGGAAGAGTTTCAGTAAGAACTGGTGGATCTATTAAAGGAAATAGTTTAGCATTTGGGAAACTTGGATTAAGATTGAAATCAAATGGAATTAGATTTAATGCTAATCAACTTCTAGCAGCTGATAAGGTTCTTAAGAGAGAATTAAGACCTAGTCGTTCTCAATTGATTACTAGATTTGTTTGTGATTTAGCGGTTTGTGTTAAAGGTAACCAAACTAGAATGGGTAAAGGTAAAGGTTCATTTGATCATTGGGCATGTAGAGTTCCTACTGGTAAAGTTTTGTTTGAAATTAAGGGGGATATTCATGACAAAATTGCTAGAGAAGCTTTAAGAAAAGCAGCAGCTAAATTACCAGGGCTTTTTGAAATTATTGATGAAAAATCAAAGATTAGAGTTAGTCCAACTTGTTTAATCGATAAACCAGAACCAATTAATTATGAAGAGAAATTCAATGAAAATCCAAGTAAGAAATGGAAGAATATTCAAGAAAATAAAAATGATTCAATGTATACTTTATATAGTGGTAGGTAAGCTAATAATTGGCTTCTGTAATTACTTAGTTTGAACAATAATAATAAAACTTGTACATATATCCTTATTTTAATAATTTTCTAAGAGTAAAGTATAATTTAATTAAAATCCCATAGTGAGAAGTGTCCCATGTTTTTTTTTTCCCACTCAAATATTCACTCGCTTCTCTTTTCATTGGTAATCTTATCCCATATCCCATAGCCTATAGCCTCTCTAATACAAATCCTATAGTTAACCTCCTAGAAGTTATCATTAATCTCCATCAACAAGTACAGAAAGCAAAGTAATACATAAGAATGTCAGTTCTGAAAGAAACTAATAAATTAATTAATCATTCATTAAATCTAACATCTAAATTAATTGAATCGGATACTAATGTTTCAATAATTGATTTAAATATGTTAGAGAATCTTAATACAAATCAATCATTAAATTATATTAAACTTGAACAGAATTTAAATCAATTAGAATTAAATTCAAATCATTTAAAACAATTGAGTATGTCCCATCTAGCTTATACCTTATTGGATATATATTTACTAACTAATCTTTATAGAATCAGAATTTAATAATCATTTAATTGAATTAAATTATATTGAAGATAAAATATTAATAATTGAAGATTTAATTAATGAAATTAATAAATGGTCAATTGATTTACAATTACAATTACAACATCATCAACAACAACAACAACAACAACTGCAACATTAATTACATCAAAATCAACACTAGAAAATATAAACAATTATGCTGCATCCATCTTTTTTTTTTTGTGGATATCAAGATGCATACAAATTATAATTAAAAGTTTTTTCAAAATCTGTATCCAATTCCAATAGATCAATGCTTATAACGACGTCTCATTTAGGTCTCTTAATCATCTTAATATCCATACTACGAGCATCTGATACCAATCATGTTTCATCCAGTTTTAAACGGGAACCAGATCTAATCAGATATAAAGAACCTGATTATCTGCCGCCGAAACCTTTTTCATTCAAAAATTTAATATTCAAAATACTAGGATTAGAATATGACTCTGACACTGATGATGATGATGATGATGGAGGAGGAGGAGAATCAGAATCATCATCTTCTGATAAAGGACCACCAAGCCTGGATTCAGAACTGGAAGATATTATAGAAAAAACACCACCAAAGGATTTGTCATCATCTAGTGAAAGTGATAGTGAGACTGATATGGATATTCCAAGGTACCACCTTGGCCAAGCTCACAATCCTCCATTATTTCTTGTTGATTCTAATATGTTAGTGGGAACAGACTTTGCAACGTATCCTGTACCAAATCTGAATCCAGCTTTTGGGCCTCTGGATTATTTACCACAACCACAACAACAACCACCTCAATATTATCCAAATAATAATAATATGTGGGGAACCTTTTAATCATTGACATCTTCATCTGCATCATAATATTTAACTTGAATCCATAAACTACAACTATTACATTGTACTATAATATCATATCCCCCTTCATTATCTTTGGTTCCATTCTCCTCAAGATCAGATTCTTCAAGACTGATACCATTGGGGAAATGACATCTTGGACAATCTTTGGTCCATTTGATTGTTTCTTCATCAAATTCAAAATCTTCAAGATTATATAAATCTAGACCTCCCCCGTTTATATTGTATCCTTTTAATAAAGAACCTGTTTTTAATGATTCGTTATACTTTCTTCTTAACTCTGGATCAATCAATGTAGTATAAGCTTCTTTCAATAATGGTATTTCATGTTGTGCATCTACATTATCTATTTTGTCTGGATGGGTATTTAATAGTTTTGAACGATATGCCTTCTTGATATCAACTTCACTACTGGAATATTCTACTCCGAGGATTTCATAATAAGTTCTTTGCATAATGGAATAAGCAAATGGAAAGTCAACCCTTTCCTCCACCAAGAATGATGACAATTTTTTTTATTCAATATTTTTTTTTTTTTTTGATTTCATTTTCCACAATCTCAAAGATTTGGTTGTAGAAAAAAAAATTGAATTGAGATGAGATGAGACCTCCCTCTTCTTCTTCTTCGTCTTCTTCTTCTTCTTCTTGGTACACGATTCCGTCTATAACCATGTCACCAAGCAAAGCAGAATCTCGTACATCCAATATCAGAGTCAGTGGTATTAGTGAAGAACCTGTCGCATTGATCGGTTCCTTTTTCAATGGAATGTCTGTTCCACCTTCGACAGAATTCGATTTATATAAACACAAGAAAAATGATACATTTATTTTACATGGAGAAAATGATACTTTAGATTATAATGGAGAATCAGTAAAGAATAGTGAAAATGATTACATTGTTGGAGTCTACGATCCAATCCATAAATCAGTTGAATTATACAAAGCTCCATTCCTTTCTGCTAAAGTCACTGCAAAGAGACATAGAGTTTATAAAGGTCCAGCAATCAAACAAGCTGGGGTTAGAAATGTTACCCAACGTAATGCATTAGGTGAAGCTTTTGGTACTAAGAAAGCTAAAGCTGCTATTTCAAGTTTGGAAAGAAATAGAATTGATGCTGATAAATTACAAGATTTGGAGATGGATATCATTGATTCTGTTACTGAATCCACTCAAGATTTACCATCAAGAGAAAAAATGGCACAAGAGGTTGTTCATGATAGACCAACCCCATTGGCAAATGTTGATGCCAAGAGTGTAGAAGATGTTTATCCAATTTTCAATATCATACCCAAGAAAGAATGGGCATATTTACGTGTTAATTCATTATTGACAGAAACCGATGAAAAGAAACAATTGGAAATGTTACCATATTCAAAATCCCAATATATTAAAAAACACTTACCAACAATTATTCAGCAAAACAATACTGAAAAATTACAATTACTTTATTACGCATCGCTTTTATTTGGAGTTTATGAGAATAGAAGAGTTAAAGATAAACAAAGTCTTATGACAAGACTTCAAAACAAAGCATCAGAAGTATTAGTGGATGGTATCTTAGAAAGATTCGCCATTTCTCGTGCAAGTCAATTTGGAAAATCAAAAGATAGATCCTTTAGCATCGATCCTCAAAATGAAGATAAATTATTATGTTACTTATTAACTATTATTCTTCATATCGATAATTTTGTTGTCGAATTACCACCATTAGCAAATGAATTAAATATGAAACCAACTAGATTGGTTGGTTTATTCAAAGCTTTAGGAGCAATTATTAAGAGTGCAACTGTCGGAGAAGCAGAAGCATTTGGAATTCCAAAGAGTGCAGCTGGAACATATAAAATAGCAACTTTGAGAGTTCCATTCAAGTTGCCAGAAATGACCAGAAGAGGAAAAAGAAGCCGTTAAGCAGATGTTGAATGGTGTGGTCAACCTTACATCTATAAAAAATGTATAATTTTTAATGAAATTTCAATAAATCCATTGAACTAGTGAATTATAATCCGTAGTAGTAACTAGGCGGGCAAGATATTCGAAGTAGCATTTACAGTAATGGTTCTAGATTTCATTACCACGCTTTAGTATAAATCCGATAATTTGTAGGAGCCAAGAGGGACTCAGCCGTAATAGGTCAGACCTTTGATTCATTATCTAACAACACTATATTTATACTAGTTACATGTTGATGTTCTAAGCTACATCGTTACTCCTTTTATCCGTTACGAATGGAAAATCCAGCTATTACTCTTTCACCACAACTACCTCTGATTTCTTCACAGCGTGGAAACAAAACAAAAGAAAGGTTCCCCTCCTGTGACTATTATAAGCGAACCTCGAATATTTGTATTTGAAGAATCATTTAATTAATGACATGAAATTTTACCAATATCTTGAGTTTCTAAGTCAATTTTGCAAAGAAAAGCAACAAAAATTTGCAGCCAAAAAAACAATGTCCTTCTTTCTCTGGAAATATACTTAATCTTTTGCCACGAAATAGTCTCTATTGAGAGTAAGTTATCCGGAATTTATAAATCTACGTATATTACTTCTAATGGTTGACAGAGGGACCCAAATAAAGCACCAATTGTTAAAAATAATTGGTAGTTGTTTTATTTTTTTAAAGGTTAACGGGAATTGAACCAACAGGCTCAAAAAGGGAATTTCTTTCATTTTTATACAAACCAAATTGTTAAAAATATATTACTCTTAACTAATTCTGCAGAGTAGAGTAAAACAGTTAGATTAATATAGTTCAAAAACCAATGCAAAAAATAATGACTCCGACGCGGTTCGAACGCGTGCATCTTTACGATAGTAGAACTTGAGTCTACCGCCTTAACCACTCGGCCACAGAGCCAGTCATTTTAAAGTGTGAAAAAATCAGCGCTACCAAGTGCAGTTATAGGGAAATTCCGTTCGTCGAAGTGAATGGCAAATATCTGACGAACATGAATGCTTCCAGTCGAAAGACTGTGACTAACAACGTGTATAATATACCTATATAGTACCACAATCGTCATGGACCATTTTTGCTAACAAACTTATCTGATTCTTGGGTTGTAAACCAGGTCCTAATTCAGAAAAATGAATCATGAGTCTGACCAAGCCAACAGTCAAACGACTACTCATTAAGAATATATATGGCAATGCGACACGATAATACGTAAATAAGTAGCTTGGCGGTACTTGGAACAGGTTGTGAAAGGTTTTAATACTGTTTGAATGATGCTTGGGGTAGCAAGAACCCTATTGATGTGAAGGTAGTCTGAAAAGAGTTGTGAACAAGTTGACCTATACAAAACGGGCATACTTCTAAGGATGCCTTGCATGGAGTCTGAGTCTATATCTCACAGAAGACTTTCGAGCGGTAGAGAATATATCATACAAGGTAGCCAGACCTAACTGAATTAGAGCCAGAATATCGTCATGCATTCTCACCAAAGAAAGAGTAAATATAACTTCATAGGTCTGTAGTTTGAAGTTTAGATGAAAATATATACAACGAGCATACACTAATTGCATTGTTGCTAATTATTTTAGGCGAAATGGCTAAAGATTTTGGAACTATCATCTGCAAATTCATGCACGTATACGGACCCTTTCTGCCTTAGTATTTATGGAGTGGATTGCAGTGATTTGATAGAAGGTCGGTCTTGATATGTCAGGACTGTATTGCCAGAATTCATAGGAGTTGGTGCTATACGATCAAGCTAACAATGAAAAAAAATAATTGTGTATTTTGCAGCTGTAAGAATATTGCATATTAGAAAATTCCCCAGATATCTTAGACTAATTTAACGGAAAGGATGTATCGGAACCTGGATTCAATATAAGAAATTTGATTTTGTCTATCGGTTTGATAGATTCCTTAAATCGAAAGACGCCTGTTCCATTGAAGCTGAATTACTAGGTATCAATAGTAGCATGTCAATGAATGGGATGGTTTAAATATCAGAGTGAAATTGTGCAATAAAAGTGCAATGTCTGCGAGTCATTCGCTCCGAGAAAAACTTCAAATGCTTTTTGGAACGACTTGAAGGCATTCTTCAAGGGGTTCAATTGTTGGTCAAGAGAGGAAACAAGAGGGAGCCATATAGAAATAAACAACCCGTACGGGAGTTCTATCTTTGCACGGAAACTTTTCGACGAAATTCCACTAGGTTACTTAGATATGTTTCACTAATCACACGTACATTAAACAGTACTACTACTTAGATTGAAACATAACAAGAGATAACCAGAACTGGAAATGATTTACCGAAATTTCGAACCGTCCTCAAAGACAGGGAATATTGCCCCCCTCTCTTGCATAATTTCGATGTCAAAAGCAATATATTTCTTGCCAGTCCCAGAGCCTTTCTTCCTAATTCTTAAGCAATTAGTTTAAATAAATGGGGAAACGTGTTTGGAACAAATGTATGCCTTTCTTAATTTGAATCCTAACTGAGAATTAATGGACAATTCATAATTCGGGAGAAACAAAATAAGTTACAAATGGAATATTCGTTGGCCAGGTCATATGCATTCGGAAATGATACTGTCATTTTTAGAGGGTTTTGTGAGAATCCACG